TTAAGGTTGTGCACCCCTACCATCTTTTCTGGATGAGTTTGGCGTGTGTGCATATATAAGCCCATAATAGCCAGGTAGAGGATGTATGCAGGACCACAATGTTCTCAATAGTGGCATTCTCAGTGATCTTTCTTCAGTATAGCACATGACTACCTTTGGTACTGCCATTCAGTTCTAAATTTTGTTTGGTTCTTTATCTCAGGAAAATATACCTTCTCTATTTTGCTAGAGGAGTTCACTGGTCTGGCTAAACATAGGCAAAAAATAGACTTAGAAAAGATTCCCTTCCTTTCAATTTTGCTTCTCACCTCCACCTTCAAGGATATTACTCCCTTGAATAGTCTGGAAAGCAGCAACCACTTTCTAAATTTGCAGACCTTTTCTTCTTTCTACACATTTAATTTTGTGATTTTTAAACTGTGTTTGTGTATCTGAACAAGAGGATATGGGAACCCTTGGAGATAAGAGTTTATAGGAGGCTGTTAGTCACTTGAGGTGTGTGGTGAACTGAACACAGGTCCTCTGCAAGAGTGCCCTTGCCATGGGGCCATTTCTCTTGCCCTTGTAGACTTTTTCTGCTGTGAAAACCAAATGAGCTTAGCTTCCAGAGCACTGGCCCACTGGCTACATTTTCCTTTTTTCTTTCCTGGTGGGATTTCCCTGGACCCCCTTTTTGGGATGCTACCAAACTAGATAACTGCCTTGAAGATGAGTCAGGCGTTACTGTTCTATACAGCAGCAGTCAGCCTCATATCTTCATCATCATCAAAGGCAGATTTGGTGAGAAAATTGGGAATCCTTAAAGGGAGAAATTAGTTAAAAGAGAGTTTTTTCCCACATTTAAAAATGGGAAACATGAGGACTGGAGAGATGGCTCAGCAGTTAGGATCACTCACTGGTTGCTCTTCCAGATGTCCTGAGTTCAATTCCCAGTAACCGCATGGTGGCTCACAACCACCTGTAATGAGAATTGGTTTCCTATTCTTGTCTGCAGGCATACATGCAGACAGAACTGTGTATACAAATAAAAATCCAAAGTAGAAGGGAGAACTATTGGGGAAAAATTACCCAGAAAAGGAATAATCTGACCTAATGCGATCTCTGAAGTCTCTAAAAAGAAGATGGAACCCCACAACAATGATTCCATCAGGACTATGGTCATACCACTAAAGATCGGCTTTGAACTACAAACTGCTCAGAACAATTTCAAGGTGGTTAGCTGAGATGATCCAGTCTCACAAACTACTCTAGCCAGGACTTGAGACAAGCCCTGAACTGTCCCATTAATCTAGACACTGGACAATAAATGATACTGCTACCTCTCCCAGAACTTGACAATTAACCCATTTGTTTTTCTTTTCAGGATCCCCTAAAGATTACCACCAGACAGCAGGAAGTAAATTTAAGAACACATTCCAAAGAGGTGGGCTGGATGGTTTTGGTTATTCAGTGGGTTATGGATATTTCTCATTGTTTAGGGGGATTGGTTGCAAGTTGTTATTGGTCGTGGTCAGAAAAAAAGCTAACCAAAGGATATTAGATTCAGGGTTCTTATTTTGAAAAGAAAAAAGGGAATACAGATATGATAAGGTAAGAGGGTAGATTATTGAATCTACTCTGAAAATAAAAAAGGGAGGATATAGATAAGATAAAAAGATAGATTATTGAATCTACTTTTAAAATGCAACTACTAGTTTTAAATATTTTACATTGGATTGAACTTTTGTATAGTGTATGCAACTTTGGTATATTGACAAAAATTTGGACATAATGTATATACATTTCTACTCTTGTATGAAGTATTGTGCCTATACAGCTTATTTAACAATGTAATGCAAATTTCTAGTCCTTGAAAGTTATTACCAACTATTTAGGATAGTAAGGAAATGTAGGTTAGTAATTAGACTCCTATTACAATTAGATTTGTAGTCATATTAGGTGTGTTTTCAAGGTCAAAAGAGTTAGCTTAAATAGACATGTTGTCTTCAAATACTTCAGAGAGCTACAGAATATAGCATTTAAGATGTTTTAGTAACATAGGTTCTTCTTCTTTTTAATGACAATGAGACATGTCTGTTCCTGGCAGCACCAATTTACTTCGGAGAAGATGATAGGCATTGAAGAAATGTCACATGGAGTTTACTTTTTGGCAAAAGTAAGCCACTGGGCAAGAAATCATCCTTGCCTTGAATGCTGATAGTATGCTATACTAATTGGACAAGCAAGACACAAAAGAAAGGACTGGGGAACTTTGCCAAGACAAGGTAACACACCCTTTCAGAATATCCTACTTCACACAAAAGCTGTCAGATATGCTAAGCCTATAGGCCGAAGATGGATTCTCCCAACATTCCAGAGGAATGCTGGGTGACTGTCCAGGCAGCTGGCTGTTTCTGTCATTTCTCATTTTTTGGAAGTTGCTTGCTTGCCCTTCCTGCTTACGCAAGTAATATTATTTCCTTCTCAGGTCTGATTGAGTTGAAGACATTTTAGTTATAGTTATAGTTTGCCTTGTTACCAGATTCAGAAAAGAAATTCACTAAGAACTATAAAGTGTATAAGGTTTCAAGATAGAAAATGAATTAGGTACAACTTTATGGACTTACCAAGATAGAATAGATATAGTATATTTTTCTGAATTTGTCAAATGCAAATGAAGTAGATATTGTTGATGTATTTATTGCCTGTAAATAGTAATTGTATTTATTGCATAGTCTTTCTTGTATTAGTTATAATGTCATTCTATTTCTTAGACAGAAAAAGGGGAAATGTGATTATTTTGTTTATTATGTAACAAATAAAGCTTACCTGAAGATCAGAGTGCAAAGTTGGGCCAGACAGTGGTGTTACACACCTTTAATACCAGCACTCAGAGGCAGATAGATCTCTGTGAGTTCAAGGCCACCCTGGGCTATACGTGACTGATCCAGTCTACAAGAGAAACAGAGCCAGGCAGTGGTGGCTCACACCTTTAATCCCAGTATTTGGGAGTCACATGCTTTTAATTCCAGCACTAGGGAGGTAGACACAGGAGGGATATGGCTGGGCAGCGAGACAAATATAAGGAGGGAGGAGACAGGAGCTCATTGCATTCAGTCTGAGGATTCCTACAGACAAGATTACCTATTTGGTTTGAGGATTCAGTAGAGGTAATAAGTCTATCTAGTGGCTGACTCCTTTACTTCTCTCTTCTTTCAATACATACAACAAAATCTGACTCTGGGTTTTATTATTAAGAACAGTTAGAATTCATGCTATATCATATAAAAAAGCAAAACCAAAAGAAGATAAATGATATATTTTTAATAACCTGTTTTCTGATTCCATTTAGATGCTCAGTTATCTAGGATTACACATAAATTTTACTATTTTAGTGTATGTAAAAAGATTTAACAGTCCTATTTTCTTTATGATAACATCTGTTTTGACTCAAACAAACATAGCAGGAAAATTTACAGGGGGCAGAGACCATCCTTATTCATCCCCCCCCAAAATAGAAAACTTACTACTTAGAAAACCATACTGCTAATAAAAATTTCAAATCAGGATAGTTTTGTAGGTTTTTTTATAATTAGAGGATTTGTGAAATGTTTGTAATTGATACAAACATAGATTTCTGTTCCAGGATATTAATACAGGTAAAATATTTGAATGTTTTGCAATTAATGCTGAAAACACAAGTTCTGGTGATCATTGGCTCTTTCCAATATTTGAATACGTTTATTTGCTCTTGGAAAAAAAAGTCTTGATGCCTAAGCAGGGCGTTGGTGGCCCACCCCTTTAATCCCAGCACTCAGGAGGCAGAGGCAGGTGGATTTCTGTGAGTTTGAGACCAGCCTGGTCTACCGAGTGAGTTCCAGGACAAGTTCCAAAACAATACAGAGAAACCCAATCTCAACCCCCCCCAAATGTTTTTATGCCAAGATTTAAGAAACATATTCCTTACAGAAGTCTGTTTAAATCTAGGACATGATCTTACAGGCCAAATTAGCCAGAGAACCTGGTGGAGGCCTAACATACAGTGCTCCCAAAACTGGAGCTACCTTCATTAGGCTTGGGGTAGGATAGGGTAGGTTTGAAGCCACATTTCCCACCCTAGCCACTGCTGCCACCAAACACAGTAAGAACCTTTAAAAGGTGTCATATCACTGTATAATTCAATTTCCTCCCTAAAAATAATTTCTGAGAGGGCATGCTGAAATGCTACATTTTCTTTAGTTGGATGACAAGATTTTTGAGTCATTAAATAGTAGGTAGTATTTCAGTTTGTCAAGAAATATTATTTGGTAAAACATCATCATTTTTCCAAATATATATATATATATATATATATATATATATATATATATTGTGTGATTTACTTTATAGTCCTTAAATTTTTGGGGGGCTTTATTTGCATGTTAGGTGTTCTGCCTGCATACGTAGCACATGCATTCCTGGTACCCAGGTTAATCATAAGAGTTCTGGATCCTCTGGAACTGGACAGTTTTAAGCCACCATGTGGCTGCTGGGAATTGAACCTGAGTCTCTGAAATAACAAGAGCTCTTAAACGCAGAGCCAAGTCTCTAGCCCGTTATACCGTACCCTTTTCTATATAAGTAACACCAGTACCAAAGCAAATGCTAACTGTTGTCATGAAGTAGTTAAGAGTCTGTTAACTGACTTCCGGACACTAGTGTAGGAAATAGTGTCAAAAAATTCAGTGCAGCTGTTTAACTCCCTTTGTCAGGCAGTCACAGCAACAAGAAGAGTCAGGCAAATGATTTACATATCTGTCTTTGGCAATGGCACTACTCAATATTTGGCTTAGGAATCTGCAGTGCTCCATTTAGAGTACTGGATGATGTCTAGAGTGTTGGCTGGGACTTTTTTTTTTTCCAAGACAGGGTTTCTCTGTGTAGCTTTGAAGCCTATTCTGGCACTCACTCTGTAGACCAGACTGATCTCGAACTCAGAGATCAGCCTGCCTCTGCCTCCCGAGTGCTGGGATTAAAGGCATTCACCACCAATGCTCAGCCTGCTGGCTGGGACTTTTAAGAGGCATTTGAAAGCGTGGGACCTCACAAGAAACCAGAGGGTCATTCAGGAATTGGATCCAGTTTGGGGACACAATGGAAAACAATAGGAGAGTCTTAGACCTGTCTCTTGAAGTTTGTAGACTGCATTGTTTTGTTCTAAGAGTTCAGCATGATACAACCCGGAGTTAGGACCTAAAGGTTTCCAAGTTTTAGAATATTTTAAAAGGTCCTTAACCTAGCAGTAAAGGCTCTCAAGAGGTGTTAGGTTGGGCATTATGGGGTAGTCTTCTTCAGAGAATTCCCATCATTCTCTAACGCTACTACACAGATAGACCATTCTATCTTCTTCACTCTCTGATTCTGTTAAGTGATCGGGAGATGAAATTTTGAGACCCATTAGAACAGTGGTTTTCAAACTGTGTGTAGCAACAACCCCTTTGGAAAAATCTCTAGTTACACTGATTCATAACAATAACAAAATTACAGTTATAAAGTAGCAATAAACATAATTTCATGGGTATGGGGGTTCACAACATGAGGAACTGTATTAAAGGGTTGCAGCACTAGGAAGGTTGAGATCCACTGCTTTAGAAGAAAATAGCACAGAACCAGAAAAAGATGACAATTTTAAGGCAGAAGAATGCAGACCTTTAACACTGGTAAGTAGAAAAAAATCTCTTCATGAATTTTAAATTGACTCTCTGTCCATTGTATATATAAGGTATGCCTCAGGCCCACACTGTGCAGTCCTTGAAGATTATGCTGTGCACAACAAAGATATGCTAGTCTCCAGGACCAGTTCAATGTGTAAAAGTGTTAGTCACTTACCAGTCAATTTCCTTCACACCTGGCTCAAGAAGATAAGAGTTCTCCTCCAGGCAAACTGATTCTCAGTAGTCTCAACTGGTAATGATACTATGGAGAAACACTTTGTGTACTTGGTTTTGTTTGAAGTGACAATGTTATCTACTTAGTAATTAAAGATCATTAGCTGTCTTGGTTGTCTGCCAAAGATCTGATGTTTTCTATAGGCAATTCACCTTTGAAATGGTGTCTCAGTAATTGGACTATCGAGAATCGTAGCCTCAATCTGTGAAAAAGACTAGAGGTATGATGTTAAGGACTGAATGTACTAATATTACTATCTATGTAATTTCAGGACTTTCAAGAGAATGGATGCGGAACAAGGCTTATAGATGATCTCATCTTTTTTTTTTTTTTTTGAGACCAAGTCTCCCTATGTTGCCCTGACAGACCTAGAACTCACTATGCAGAATAGGCTGCCTTCAAATTCAGAGATTTACCTGACTCTGCCTCTGAAGTGCTAGGATCAAAGGTGAGTGCCACTATACAAGGGCCCCATTTCTATCCTACAGACCAAGGGCAATTTTGCTGTTGTGAATAGCTCTTTTAGTCACAAAATTGGCCAAGGGTTTGGGCCATTTTATTCCTTTGTTAATATATAACTGAACCAGTTTGTTTTCATCCCCAAGGTTACTTGTGTAAGCGCACATCTACTATGCCCTAAACTCTACATAAAGACTCTATCTTTTTACCTTTAGATGTGTCTGTTGGGATGTTTTGGGGGGGGGTCTGTCCTAGTAGTTGGGATGTTAGGGGTCAAGATTCTTGTAGTAACCTCTGAGGAAGTAGTCATAAGATCAATTTTGTATAATCTGTTAGTGTCTGGGGGAAGCATAATGTTCATTAGTTCCTTCTATAAGGAAAACATATTAAATGTAAATCTTGATGCAAATCAAATAAAGGAATACTCACTTTACTTACAAACCTCTAAATACTACTTAACAGAAGTAAAACAATGTTATTATCAAGTAAGGGTTATCTAAGAAAGAACTGTAACTTCTTTGCAATTAGTAAGGCTAACCAAGATCTTCATGATTGACAGTCTGACATACTACTGGAAATCTTAGTCAACGTTTTAAATAAATTATAATAATTTCACACTAAGAAAACAAAATTCTATACATGTAAAGGAAACAGGAACCAATGTGTAACATATATGTAAAAAGACACAGGTCAGACACTTCATGCTGTCAGATAGAATAAATAGTATTACAAAGACACCAAATTTCTGTTACCAGAAGAGTAAAGGGAACACTTGCCACAGCAAAACAAGGCAAAATACTTATGACTTTACTTTTAAGAAACACACATGAACATGCTCTCAAACCTAGTTTACGTTGTCTACTTGATTCTGAAAAGATTATTTTGTTATATACCTTAAGCCTGTATTTTATTGAGATAGGAGGGGCTGGCTTTTAATTGTCCTGTCCTTTCATGTTTTTGTTGTTTTCATTTCAAATAGTTTGCATTCATAAGATTTCTCAAAGTACTCTTCAAAAGGCTAACTCAACCCCCTATTTTTAAATAAGCAACAAAAGAGGTGCTTTAGAAGACATAAACTCTTTACATAAACAGCAATCCCACTGCTATTTTTCTTTTATAGTCTCTGAATATATTTCCTTATCAAAACAAATTAACCTCATATATTCTAAACATTTTCATGTATAATTTAGTTTTCAAAAATGACTGATCTAAAATACATATATTGTTTAGTTTTTGTTATTATTTAAACTAAAATTTGTCAAATTTGTCTGTATTTGTTCTTTTCTCATCGAATAAAAGAGTCAAGACCTTTGTAAGATTTACAATGATACTATGGTGCTAGAATTTAATATAGCATACTGGAAAAAATTCTCCAATTATAGCACTAAAAACATATGAAACCCATATAGCATTCATTACTAAAACCTACAACTCTATAAACAAAACATTGTCATACTGACCTCTAGTGGCCAGACTCCCTGTATTTCACTGACAATGAATGAGCCAGATAAAATACTGTGAAGATATGCAAGACATTTTTATCAACAAAGAAATAAACAAGCATCTAAAACATAGAGGCATTTAAAAGCCACAAGTTGTCAAAAATAGTTGTATGTTCTAAATTTTAGTTTTTCAGTTTATTTTACATTGAAAACAAATGATACATACACACACAGGCTCTTATTTCATTATCATTTATTTAAAATTTAAGTTATTTTGTGTGATACGTGCATGCCAGAGACTGTCAGTATAAGCTTTCAGCGATTAGATCTTACTTTATGGCAGGCTTTCAGTCAGTCTGGAGCTTGTTATTCTGGCAGACTGGCTGGCCAGAGAACCCCTGGGATCCGTTGTCTCTCGAACTCCCAAGTGCTGGAGTGACAGATGGGCAAACATCTGATTTTTATTAGGTTGCTGGGTGTATGAATTCTGTTCCTTCTGCTTGTTCAGCAAGCACTTTACCCACTGACCCATCTCCCCAGCTTCTCTACTGATCCGGAAAAACAGTTTTGTATGTTCACCAGCCACATGAACCTACTAATCATTTGAAGTGGAACTCGGGCAAAATAACACCCAAAGATGCAAAGTTTTAGTAAGATTAAAAAAAGAATGTAAGTTATCTTTTTAATAATGTATATTGATTATATGTCTAGTGATTTTGTATATTTGATTTAAAAACTAGTTTCTAGGTGTTCTTTTCCTGTTTCTCGTTCTCAGAACACACATTCTTGAGTTGTTTTTGCTCCCAGGGATCAACCTGGAGTAAGTTTCTCAAGCTGGACATGTTGTTAATTTCAAATTACAGGCACTTACCACCACCACATTCATCACTTTAACCAGCAAATTGTGTACCTATGAATTTTCTGAAACTAGGAATGAAACGCGAATAATTATAGCACATTCCTAGGATGAAATATCATGCACTCTGTGTCTCAGTTTATTCGTCTCAAAAGGAGACAGAAAGGATTACATGAAGTAAAGCATTTAGAATGTGTCTGTCACATGCAAGGAGTCAATAAAGTTTGTTAGTATTAGCATATAAGGATAAAGCTCAGAAACAGTATGCACTAAAAAAGGCCAGTTGATATTTATGGGTATTTATACAATGGATGGTCAAAACCAGTGGATACAATCATTCATTCACTCATATTCATAAATATTCGTGTGGATATAAGTAAAAATCTGGGTGGTAAAAATGAAACACATTCTAGCACTCAGGTTACTTGTGGTAGGGGAAGGGAGTAACTCGAAAGGTATCCAAGAGGCTTTGGAATGTTCGAGTTCTCTGCGAAAATGGAACAATGTCCCATCTTCGCAGAAGATGCTGTCATGCAGGGGAAGTTGTTTGAATTTTGAATAGGTTGCTATAAAGCTAGCCGCAAGGACGATAAAACACGGACGTAGGACGGCCGGTGAACAAGCAAGAGGAGACCAGATAGCCGAGGCATGCGCCCCACTCGTAGCTGCAATGTGTGTGACCCAAGTTAAGCAAAGGGAAGAAAAGTGAGGTCTCCCGGTGAGAAGTTCGTCCGGGGCAGACCTCCTCCCGATAAACGTCACCAACGTAGTCTCCCAACGCATACGGGAGAGGTGCCTGCAGCGTTGCAAAATTACCCGGCGACAACAAGTTTCGAGTTTTGGAAAGGCGCGTCCTAAGCCCCAGCTGAGGCATTCGTTCTGAAGTAATCTCAGTGCGCGGCCTCAGCCGGGACCCCAAGCCCTTTGGCATGCTCTGCGCTCTCCTCTGCTCCGAAGAGTCGTCCCGCAGCTTTGGGAAGCCGACCCGGGAGGCTGGGGCGTCTCCAAGCGGCCCTCCGTGACTCTCAGGCGTCGCCTTCGCTCGGACTCCTCCGTCAGGCAGGTAGCAGGAGCGGAGACCATGCTCTCAGCCGGCCTTCTCCCCTTCCTCGCCCCACGCCCCGCAAGCGGGACACCCGAGGCCAGAAAGTTGAACGCCCGCTCCCGACCGCCTCCTCCACACCACTTCCGGTCACGCCCCCCGCCCCGACTCTTCCCACAAACACCTTTTCCTCCTGGGGAAACCAGCCGGCCACACCCCCGGCGCATGCGTGCGAGCAGGCTGACTGGTCGGGTCTCTCTCTCTCTCTCTCTCGGCTTCCGGGTCCCGCCTCTCGCGAAAATCCCGCGGGATCTCGTCCTCCCGCGCGAGTCGTTTGAAAGCTCTGGCGGGCCCGGGCGCTCGCCGGCGGGTGTGCGGGGAGCGGAGCGGAACTGAGTCCCTGCGGGCTGCAGCCAGTCGCCCTCGCGCAGCTCTCGTCCCGGAGCCATGGCAGCGGAGAAGAAGCGGCTTTCAGTGAGGGAGGCTTTCCAGCTGGCGCAGCAGGCGCACCAGAACCAGGCGAAGCTGGTGGTGGCGCTGAGCCGCTCGTACGGCGCGGTAAGCGGCCTGGACTCCGCGCCCGCGCTCCCTCGCAGGCGGCCGCTCCCGGGCTCAGCCTTCGGCCCTTGCGCGACCCGGGTCGCAGTGACCCGAGGGACAGGTGCTCCGAGGCCTCCTGGCCTCAGCCCCCGATCTCGACCCCGGGCGTCGTCCACGTCAGTTTCCTCCACCCGTCTCCCCGGGCCCCCGGATCCGTTATCTTTAGTTTAGCAGTGACTTGGAGACAAGTGTTAGGCTGCGAAGTGCATCTCAGACGCCCTTCTTTCCTTTGGGGGGGGGAGGGGTCTCTAGTTCATCGTAGGAAATCCGGTCAAGTTATTTCAACCAACTCCTAAGCTTAAATCAAATTAACTTCACCGAATAGCCAAATCATCAGTAACTAGCCTTTCCTATTTATACTAAAAGTGCATCGAGTGGAGCCGTGGGCAGATTGTATGTAGGACAACGAGTTTGAGGAAGATGAATTATTTTGAGGTTGGGGAAAAAAAAGTTGAGTAAATATAAACGTGATTGAGGATATGGAATCTGTGGAAGTTATACGCAAAGGAAATTGTTGCATATTAGGAAAGCCCAAATAAGATAAATACAAAAACCAGTCTTTATTTTTTGAGTTATTCTTGCCGAAGCTTATTTTGCATTAATAGGGTAAGAAAAGCATCGAGAGTCCAATTGGGTGGAAAGAAAAACAATGACTTTTTCATTGTCCAGATTTATGCTTTGTACTTTCTTAGAAGTGAAATTATATGCTGAAGAGAAGTTTGTGCAGATTTATTAACCCTTTTCTTGGTTTGGATAATTGAGAATTTACTAAAAGAGATTTTAGTTTGACCTAAGGCTAAAGCTTTCAGGAGTGTTATGGTAGTGTTAGGAATAAAGAATTTTTATTAATGCAGTTTATGGAGGCGTTAATTCTGTCTTTCAGATGGACAATAAAACAGCTTTTCAGGAAGAGTTTGTTCATTACCTTAAGTATGCTATGGTGGTATATAAACGTGAACCTGCTGTGGAGAGGGTCATAGACTTCGCAGCCAAGTTTGTCACTTCATTTCATCAAACTGAGGAGGAAGAAGAGGAAGAGGAAGATGGTGGCATTTTAAATTATTTGTTTACTTTTCTTTTAAAGGTACTGTGAAAACTGGTACTTTGTGGGAAGTAATGAAGACAATTTCAGCATGATGTTTGTCATTTTCAACAGTGAAATATTAGTGATAGAGAAAATGTATGTGAATAAGTCTTTTATAGGAAAATTTAACTGTCATTAAGATTAAAGGATAACTCCAGTATTGAATTTTAACTGCCTATTTAGAATCTGTTTGTTTGAAATGTTTTCTGCCTTGAAGCAGGAAATTCCTACAGAGAAGATTATGCTTATTTTTTATATAACAAATTTTTTTTTCAGAGCACTTGAGATTATATTGCCTATTTAAGAATGGATTGTTTCTAGGAATAACTTTTTAAATTTGTTTTTGTGTAGTCTCATGAAGCAAACAGCAGTGCAGTCAGATTTAGAGTATGCCAGCTCATTAATAAACTTCTGGGGAGTATGCCAGAAAATGCCCAAATCGATGATGACTTGTTTGATAAAATTAATGAGGCCATGCTTCTTAGACTGAAAGATAAGATTCCAAATGTAAGGATACAAGCAGTTTTGGCTCTTTCTCGACTCCAAGATCCCAAGAATGATGACTGCCCAGTAGTTGATGGTATGTATGGTTTCCTAAATCTTGTTTTATTATGTTGACTTGGTTAATTTTTCAGTATTTGGGGTGTGTGTGTATAGGTGTGTACATTCATATGGAAGCCAGAAGTTGGAGTCAGATAATCTTCAGTTGCTCTCCACACTATTTTTTGGGACAGCATCTGTCATTAAATCTAGAGCTCCTCTGCTCTGACTCATTGGCCAGCAAGCCCCAGGAATCCTGTCTCCTTATTCCCAGTGCTAAGATGATAGGTGCACTATGCCTGGTTCTTATGTGGGTTCTGTGCTTTAGAACATCAAGCTTCCTTGTGCTGCAACTACTGCACCAATAGATCCATTTCCCCAACCTAGCATTGAACTTTTGCTTAATTACACATGTCTCTATTGTGGAAGTATCAACCCAACAACTTAAAACAAGGGAATATTATAACTCTGCCTTGCTCCTACTCCAGTTGTGTCCCTTTCTTCCAGAGACAGTAATAATGACAGCGAAATTGGGTTAATTGCCTTATTCACCTGAAAAACTTTAAACAATCACACATTTGTTTCAGTGTCTGCCCTTTTTTTTTTTTTTGGTGAATCATACTATATTTTTGTTTTTTTTCCTTCAAAATTATTTCTAATTTTAGCATTCATTTAGAATGGTATATATTTATTTCTTTTCTATTTTAATGTTTTGTTCTATGGAGTTTATTTTGCATGTTAATGGCCCCTCTAGTTTGCAATTACTTTGCTTTAAAAACAGTGTTAGAAGTTGGGTGTGGTAGTGCCATTCCTTTAACCCTAGTACATTGAGACAGGAGATCTCTTGAATTTGAGGCTAGACTAGTCTATGGAATGAGTTCCAGGACAGCCATGGCTACACAGAGAAACCCTGTCTTGAAAAAACAAACTTTGGTGCATAGATTAAAGAGTTTTGTCAAGTTATACTTAGAGATAGACTTATATAGGTTCCACTTTATTATAGTAGGTAAAGTATTCTAAAAAGCTATTAATACTCTCAGTAATGGGGCATAAAAGTTTGCATTGACCTATATCCTCTTTAGTTTCAGCCCATTTTAAAATTTGATGCTCTATCTAGTATGTTATTGTTACCAATCTTCATGAGTTGCTTAAGGATGGTGGAACAATTTGAGAAGTGTTATATTAGGTGATTTTTGTAATGTTAAACATCATAGAGTGTGCTTGGACAAATGGATTGTAAAGTTGAGTAACTCACTCTGACTTTTGGTGCAGTTCAGAAGTTGCACTAAACTTATATGAGACTACTGCTGGTATATCTTGCATACTCTTACATAGTCAACTTTTTTTTTTTAATACGAGTGCACTCAAACAATGCAAAAGTATATTAAACACATTAATTTACAAGAGCCACTTATTCTCAAGGTTCAAAGTGTAAAGTCAAATGTGAACCTTGACAGCTTCCCTTCCTAACTGTAGAAGTTCATTGAGTTGTATAGTCATTGGGTTTGGTTAATTTTGGTGTGTGATTTTTTTGGGGGGGGGGTAACTTTATAATAATGTTTAAAATAAATCAAATTAACAAATCCTTATAGAAAACCATTAAACTGCCTACTCTAATCATCTCCTGACTTTTGGGACTGTGTTCATTTTTACTCTCCAGTCACTAATTTTTAGTTCCATTTTCAGAAGGAAAGTTGTTAATTTTTTTTGTTTGTTTTTTGTTTTACTAACAGTGAATATGTAAGAGTAGTACATGGTATTTCTGTTATTAAAAAATGAAATAGCAATTTTAATATTAAAATGTGTTGCTTTATTTTTAGCATATGTTACTTTGATCGAAAATGATTCAAATTCAGAAGTTAGGCGTGCAGTGTTATCCTGTATTGCACCATCAGCAAAGACTTTGCCAAAAATTGTAGAACGTACAAAGGATGTAAAGGAGGCTGTCAGAAAGCTGGCTTATCAGGTAAATAGTTAATATTTTCAGTAGGCATGTTTTTGAAAGTTGAGCCAATTTATGGTATTTTGGTAAAATCTTGGTAACAATGATTTTTTTTTTCCAGTTAGGACTTTAGAAGAAAATAGGTAATTTAGTTAGAGAATTATTGTATTACACGTATTAACAGACAAAACATTTGGGTTAACTTACAGAAGAATGCAATAGAGAAACATGGCATGTACTCTCTCATATATGGATTTTAGACATAGATCTGGGGAGTGCCAGCCTACAATCCCATGGCCAGAGAGTCTGGGAAACAGAAACTTCATTCAGTGGCTGATCAAAGAAGAGGCAGACTCCCTCGGTTAAGTACTGAGCTGAACTCAAGAAATCCAGTAACAGAGAGGGAGGACTGATGACCAGAGGGATTAAGACTGGGCTGGTTTAACCCCCAGAAACAGCTGACCTGACAAAGGTTAACTCTTGAATCCCAGGCATCAGCCTGGGAATCCAGCATGGGACTGATCAAGACCCCCTGAATGTGAGTGTCAGTGAGGAGGCCTAGGTAATCTATTGAGCCTCGGGCAGCAGATCAGTACCCATCCCAAGTATACACACGGACTTTGGACTCCCAACAATGTGAGAGGCACTCTCACCCTGAACTCTTGGGGAAGGGTCTAGGCCCTGCCCTATATGAAATGACAGACTATGGACACCCCCATGGAGGGCCTCACCCTCCCTGGGGGAATGAGGGGATATTGGGGGGTTGGGGGGAGGGCACGGGAGGAGGGGAGGGAAAGGGAGAGGGACCTGGAACTGAGTTGTGAAGCAACCTTGTTTCTTATCTAAATTTAAACTGAAAAAAAAATAAAATAAAGAAAAATAAAAAAAGAATGCAATATTCATAAATAAGACATTGCTATTGGGATTAATGGCTATCTTATACTTTTTAAGGTGTTAGCTGAAAAAGTTCATATGAGAGCTATGTCCATTGCTCAGAGAGTACAGCTTCTTCAACAAGGTCTTAATGACAGGTCAGGTAAGACACACATCTTTGTAAATACTGGATTTTGAAGTTGGACTTGAAGTTAATAAAACTATCATTTCCATAAATTTGATGAAACATTTTGGGATTAAAGGCTTTGGTATTTTGAAGGAGAAAGGCATTTCTTTTAGACTGCCTGTGCTAAATTCTGTGTAGTTGTTTCCAGAAGTCTGACAGAATCTTTCTTTTTATCCCATCTTTCTTAGACATTACTATTGTGCTTTTCTATACAACATATATGTTTTCTGTGGGTCAGAAACAATTAAGAATGACCAGACCTATATAATGCCCCCACTGCCTTAAATGATAGAAATAAAGTGTTTAGTAAAGTATGTTGTGATTTTAATATGCAAATAGAATTTTTGTAATAGAAGAAGTCTGTCAGCAAGTGATAGTAGACTTCGCTTATTCTGGTGCTTGATGTTCAATGAGGAGACAGTATAAAGAACTTTTTCATTAGGCTATGCAGGAGTTAGGTTTTTACTGCTGCACTCCCATTTGTATTTTGAAATAAGCATTATCATAACTTAGTAAAACTGAATCTTTTTTGTTGGCATGGTTTGTTCTACCTATAATCTATTGTAAATATCAATGTGAACATTGACTCAATGAAGGCTCATTATAACGGGATAGCAGAGGGGGAAAGTCTAGAGTGTACATTGTTCACCTGCTTTAAATGACTCACCAGATGCTGTGAGACAAGCAGTGCAGAAGCATCTTCTTCAAGGCTGGCTGCGCTTCACCGAAGGGAATATCTTGGAGTTGCTTCATCGGTTAGATGTGGAAAATTCCTCTGAGGTGGCAGTCTCTGTTCTCAATTCCTTATTCTCAGTGACTCCTCTCAATGAGCTGGTTGGAATCTGTAAAAACGATGATGGCAGGTATAGAATGAATTCATTATTTAAATTGTACAGCGTATTTAAATTGAACTTCCAAAATTAAAGTTAGTTTTCCCTCCCAATACTTTGAGATTATTCCATCAGTACCTTTTATCTGTTTCATTTCTTTAATGAATGTCTTTTTCCCCATCTGGTATAAGACTCATTATTTTTATCAGATATTACTTCATTTGTGCCCTTTCATTTTGTAATTTTATTTTTGCATATGTTTATTGTGAAAACATCCTCAGATATGCATTCTTGCCATGTTAGCACATTTGAAGCGTTCTTTCTTTTTTGCATTTCCTTAGTGTAAGTTTTTTCTTCTTTTCATTACTTTTTGAGTAGGTCAGTTAATGACTTAGTAATTAAAAGACGTAGTAATTAAAAGAAATCTATATCTAATTTCCATTCTTGTTTTGCTTTTCAACTGCATGTAAAGATAATGCTGTCTTATTTTCTTCTAAACGAAGGAAGTTGATCCCAGTGGAAACATTAACTCCTGAACTTGCTTTGTACTGGTGTACCCTTTGTGAATATTTGAAGTCAAAAGGAGATGAAGGTGAAGAGTTTTTAGATCAGATTTTGCCAGAGCCTGTAGTATATGCAGAGTATTTGCTGAGGTAAAATTTTTCTTTTGGTTTGAACTATACTTATGCTGCTCACGTGCCAATCTCATAGCTACTGTATTTAAAGTCATTGTTGGAAACAAGTTAAAAACTATTGTTGTTCAAGTAGGTGTAAATGGGTGTGTTCATTGAATGTTGCTAAAGAATTTGTGTGGTTAGTGTACTGAATGTGTAGAGTCAGGGTCTTACTATCCCTGTCACAATGACTCAACATCAGCAGCTAATTAGTGTGATTTTCCCTGATAAAACTTTTTCTTGAATTTTATCTAATTTATATAATAAAAATTTTTAAGATCATTCTTTGTAAGCTGTACAAAAACAGGTATGATGATTATATTTGACACATTGAACTAGTTTCAGAATCATAGGGTAGAGATGTATAGCCAGTTTTAGTATAATTTAAGTCCTTTTTGATTAATAACAAAACTAAAAATAAAATGAAACAACTTATATAACTTCAGAGTTTTATTTTCCTTAATTATCTGTCTTACTATATGTCCTATGCTAGTTGTATGTCAACTTGACACCAGCTAAAGTCATTTTGGAATAGAAAACCTCAACTGGGAAAATGCTCCCACTAGATTGGTCTATGGGCAAGCCTGTGGTACATTTCCTTGATTGATGGTTGATTTGGAAAGGCATAACTCACTGTGGGTGGTGACATCCCTGGGCTGGTGGTCCTGGATTCTTTTTTTTTTGTTTTGTTTTTGTTTTACAAGACAGGGTTTCTCTGTATTATTTTGGAGGCTGTCGGTCTAGCCTGGCCTCGAACTCACAGAGATCCTCCTGCCTCTGCCTCCCGAGTGCTGGGAGTAAAGGCGTGCGCCACCACCGCCCGGCCGGTCCTGGATTCTTAAAGAAAGCAAGCTGAGCAAGCCATGGGGAACAAGCAAGTAAGCAACATTCCTCCATGGCCTCTGCATCAGCTCCTGCCTTTAGATCTTGCCCTGTTTGAGTTATTGATATGAGTTCTTTCAGTGATGAACTATATATAATATAAAATAGGAAATAAACCATTTTCTCTTCAAGAAACCTTTAGAAAATCAACTGAGACAATATAATTTCTACTTCTTCACTGTAAGCTTACATTAAAAAAATACTTACTCTTGTCAGAATTCAAATGTAGAGGTAAATTTATTCTTTGCTTCCCCAATCCCACCAATCATTGTAGAGTTAACAGCTCAGTAATTAGCCTGTGCATTTTCAGATCTCTTTCTCTACATGTTTTAAATGCACAAGTAAGTTTCTTTTTGAAAATATAGCATATATGTACTGGCTTCTGATTTTTGTTTTCTTTGACCTGTATATATCATTAGTTGGTACGTAATATTCTACTATTTTGTAGTGCCTTGTGTGTGCTGTGTAAGTGCTCTTCTACTGAGTTACATCTACTTTATTCTAATTATTTTAGTTACATCCAGAGCTTTCCAGTAGTTAATGAAGAACAGAGAGGTGATTTTTCCTACATTGAAAATTTGATGACAAGAGAATTTATAGGTCAGCAATTGATTCTAATTATAAAATCTTTGGATACCAGTGAAGAAGGAGGAAGGTATGTCTAAATGTTAACATTAGATATAATTCCTTATAATTACATTTATTTAGTAACCTATCTTGTTTAATTTTTAAAAGGTAATTCTGGTTTTAATTTTAGAATGATTATGCATGGTGAAGATATGTCCTCTGATTAATTAGAGTTTTTTAAAGAATAATTTTTATTTTATGATGTGTCTTGATTATATCCATCTCAAGACTGTTACTACTCTTTTTAATCCTCAGGGAACATCTTCTACCTTGAGACCCTGCCTCTCCCCAACCCTAACCCTAACCCTTTTTTTTTTTTTTTTAACTTACTGAGCCCAATCATGTGCATGGTTATGTGGCCATCCATCAGATCATTGGCAGCATACCACCAGCTACACCCCAAAAGAAAAATGATTCTCCCTCCTTTAGTAGCTATCAACTGCCAGTTGCTTCTCAGCTGGTGGGGGTAGAGCCTCAGGAGTCCCTATCCCATCCATACAGGAATGTTGACTGACTGGGCTTGTGCAGGTAACCATAGTTGGCAGTGAGTTCCTGAGTGTAACAGCCAAGTCTTGTCTAGAGGGCAGCATTATCACTCCTTCCTGATCCTCTGGCTAATTCCCTATATTAAATACAGTTTTGTTACAATATGATTAGATATGTGTAGCCTAGAAGTGCTATTAAATTTTCTTTCCCCTTTCTGTATATTGAAACATATTTACACATATATAGTTAATTAATGTTAGGGTATATTCTGAAAAATGTGTTGTTAGGTGATTTTGTTGGTGTGCAAGTATTATGTATAAATTTAGATGTTACAGGTTAATTGTTCTTGTGGTCTTTCAGTATAATTAGATGACAATATGTATGAGGCTGTAGTAAATACGATTTTCATAGTAAGTAGTAGTATACTGAGTAAACTCTACAGTAATGGTAAAAAATACATTGTGATAGTTACATAAACCAGTAACAGTCATTTAACATTAAGTATGTATGATTGCATGTGGTATATAATCGCACTCTTATATGTGTGACAATGTATGTTTATACCAGCATCATCAGAGGAATGAATTGAAATACAGCATTGCTAGAGCTATGATATCATTAACTATTAGATATTTTCTAGCTCCATTACGATTTTTTGGTACTTCCACCAGATATGTGGTCTAACATTATGTGGCACATGATTGCATATGTATGCATGTTTCTAGTATAATCCTAGTATAATTACCTCAGAATAACTAATTTCTGATTTTTTTATTTAAAATATTTATTGCAGAGAGAGCAAGTAGTGCTATCTATTATATATATTTAATTCACCTTTAATTTTTTCCCTGTGTTTTGTTATTTTAAGATCAGGGTATGAAAATACAACTTATATGTATATTTCTAAATAAGTTTGTAGAATATGAAGGGTTTTTTTTTGTTGTTGTTTTCCCCCTAAAGTTTGTATGTATGGAGTTTCGTACCTATAGTTACAAACAAGTAAAAACTAAAACAAATATAAAGGGAAATGTTAAAAAAATGTATTCTCAGTTGGCAAGGCGGGTCAGGGTAGGGGGTAAGGGGACTTGCTGTCAAATCCAATGACTTTCATTTTATCCTTGGAACCCTCAGAGTAGAAGAGGAAAACTAACTCCTGCAATTTCTTCTCTGGTTTCCACTTTCATTTCCTGGCATGAGTGTGCCAGAAAATAAAGAAAAAAAATGTTTAAAAATGTATATAATGTATTTTGTCATAGTGATAGTTAAGTTAAAAAAGATTTTTTGATTACAGGAAACGACTGCTGGCTATTTTGCAGGAGGCTCTAATTCTGCCTACAACCCCAATATCCTTAGTTTCTTTTATTGTTGAGAGACTCCTCCAGATCATCTTAGACGATAACAGAAGGATACAGATTGTAAGTGCCTTTCATTGTGATACAGTTAAGAAGCTTTGATCAGTGAAATCCAAGAGTCTGAATTTCCCTTTAGTACCCTTGTCTTTGATTGTATTAGTGTTGTCCAACATGTTCTATACTCACAGTTTAAAACACCTTCCTTTATTAGCATGCTGTGAATTTGTTGAGTCAGTGCAGCAGACATGGGAGGAAGGACAGGTTGGATGAGGTTTTATTCATACTATTGGAAACTAGTGTGTTAAAGGAAGACTAAGTTATGTATACCTTGGTTGTGGCTTTGGGCAAGTTTTTAGCCTATTTTACTCACCTGCAAAACACTAATGTAACCTTTTACTAATGCTCATAAAGTCATTGATAGATAGAAAAGTCAAATGAATAAATGTGCTATAGTAGTTCCAGAAATAAGATCTACCTCGTTGGGGGTGGGTTAGCAAAAATAAGTAGGTTTGTATTGATTAATAAAACCAAGCTGTTTGCTTGCATGGCTAATTCAAAATTAGTTTGTCCAAACCTCTCCTTACATATTCATCCTTTCTATACCATTCCTAATTAGTGGTTACCTATAATTTGCTTATTCTCAGATGGGAGCCACCCCTTTTCTGGACTAGTGAACTCCAAGTGACTCTGACAGGAAAGTGGGATGGTAATGCCCATATTTAGATTGTGTCTTCTCCTCAGTTAAACTTCTTCAAAAACATCCTACCTGGGGTCCAGCCAGGTTGGCAATGTAGATTAGCCTTTACAAGCCATGACTTCCTAAGCACAACCATTTTAAAATCAATTGTTCCAGGCAGGCAGTATTGCTTTTTCACTACATCTTTTATTACAGGACTGTCCATTGGAAAGAGTCCCCCTCTTGGCGAGTTATCTGAAAACACCCTCTGATGACTCCAAGTCCAATCAAATGGACAATAAAGATGAACCAACACGATCTTTACTTAAGATTGTATAACAAATGAATGTATGACTTTTAGATAATTCTGTGTTTGTTGCCTTCAAAGATGACATTTGCTTGGAATTTGATATAACAGTTTATTATTTACTGATGTAAAACATGAATTACAGCTTGTATTTTAAATTAAAATTTTATCAGGTTACAGAAATGATCTCAGAGATTCGTGCACCCATCGTTAATGTTCATGTTGATCCATCTGATACAAGAAAGAAGGAACTCAAGGTAAGTCTCTTCTAATTCAAGGACATGCCTTAGTGATGTCATGGCTGCCTTCTGCTGGACTGCTCAGAAATGTTCTCATCAAGTCAAGTCATTAAGTGTTGCACTCTAAAAGTATGCAAATCGTTACCAGTTCATAACATTTGCTGATCTCTGTTTTAGGAAAACAAAATCTTCTATATGACTGCTTCAATCCTGAGTCTTTGAGATATTGTGACACATTTTCATGTTAGTTTTTGTGTAGATGATCAATTTCTATCTTTCTTTAGATGGCTGAAATAAAAGTTAGGCTTATTGAGACTAAAGAAGCTTTGGAAAATTGCATTGCCATACAGGATTTTGATCAGGCATCAAAATTAAAAGAAGAGATAAAAACATTGGAAGATGCTAGAATAAACCTTTTAAAAGAAATGGAGCAATTTGAAATTAAAGAAGTCCACACAGAAAAGGTATATGTATGTAATTTTTCATAGTAAATTTTAACTATTATATCAATACACCTTAATTTCTTTAATTCATTAAACTACGACAGTGTATTTACTTTGGAAGGAGTTGTGACAATACCATGAATTAAAATGAAGAAAGAAACCTTAGTTTTGAAATTTCTTTATTGCATTTTTATACTTGTAATGTTTGAGACAGTCTCATTCTGTAGACCTGACTGGCCTGTAACTCGATGTGTAGACCAAGCTAGCCTTGAATTAATGGAGATCTACTTGTCTATGCCTCTACCTCCCTAGTGCTGGGATTAAAGTGGTATGCCACCACACCAGGCCTAACATTTTTGGACTTTGAAAAATAACCTTTAATTTGTATATCTAGAACTTGTTCCCTTGTTATGCTGATTCCTGGAATTTTAATGCTTTATTAAATCACTAGTCTTCTAGTGATTTACGTAGATGTTTTATTCATTTACTTATTTTTCTGGAATGGTCTAAAGGAATTGTATCCATCTTTCCCTTTTGTGAAAGGTCCATGACCTTTTTATTGCTAAAAAAGAATCTTTGGTAAAGAAATACTTTAACTGAGATTTGGTATCTTCTTAGGTAAATGTACATTTACATGGTTAGAAAAAAATCAAACAGCTTTGTTATTTTTTTAAAGTTCATTTATTTGTGTTTTAAAATTAATTTATGTATATTTTTTAAAACTATCTATATGAGTGTTTTACTTGCGTGCGTGCGTGCGTGTGTATATTATATGTGTGCCGGGTGCTCTTGGAGGTCAGAAGAGAGCATCAGATGTTTAGAAACTTGAGCTTCAGATGGTTACGAGCTGCTATGTGGTACTAGGAACAGGATCTGGTTTTCTATGAGAACACCAAGTACTTAAAATCACATAACCCTTTTTCCAGTCACAGCTTTGTTACTTATTTTTAATGAAACACTTGACATTTAGTAATATTTGAAGTTTTTCTGTTTTCTAACTTAGCCATTTAACAAATTATCTCTTAAAAGGATTGTGTCTTTGGTCATGAATTTATTTTAGCATATGATAGAATGTATCCATTTATATATTTTGTATTTTTAAAGATCTTGTCTTTGTATTGAGTGTACCTACTATTGCACTTTGATTTGGGGAGTGCTTAAGGCAGTGCTGAATAGGAAAGCTTACCATATATAAGAGTGTTTTAGAATTAATCATGTATCCTTAAACTTTTTAGCCATAAATATATCCTAACATAACACCTCACTTTCCCAGTGAGAATGACTCATTTATTTTTATAGTTAGTAGCTTATTTGCAATCAGTGGCTTATCTTAGCCTATCAGATTTGAGGAACAACAACAAAAAAATTAAAATTAAGAAACTATTTGGACAAGTGTCATGGTGTGTTTCTGTAGTGTTAGTGCTTTGAGTTAGAGGAAGAAGATCTGGATCAAGGCCATCTTGGGTTACATAGGCCCTGTTTCAAAAATCTAAAGAATGGAGATGTAGCTCAGTATGAAAGTGCCTGCTTAGTATATGCAAGGCCCTAGGTTTGATTCTTAGCTCTGTCTGTCCCTCCTTCCCCAAAAGGTAAGGAAAACATTTGTAAAGATAATCTACCTGATTAATAGTCTGATTAATAATCTCTTGACTTCCTTTGAACATTGAGTGTCTTTTTGTCCTCTTTGGGGGCCTTAACTATTTTAATTCTAATGTAACAATGTGATTAGGAAACTAGAACTTTTATTGAGAGGTATGTAATCTATGTAGAATGCTACTGGGTTCCTCAGAGATTAACATGAGATGTGAATAACATTAATGTGTTAGACTTTTCATTGTTATGGGATACTAGTTAAGTTGGAAGGGCAGGAGTGTTTGTTTGGGCTCATAGTTTCAGAGGTTTCTGCACATTAGGGTTGAGAGGGTATGGTAGAAGGGCTCCCGTCCTGACAGGCAGGGAAAAGAAGTACTACTACGCTGTTTTTTCCTTGCCTGCCTTGTGTTCTTCTTCAGACCTCCAGCCTGTGGGATGGTGCTACTTGTATTCAGAGTGGGTCTTCCCTTCCTTCTTTAATTGCCTTTGGAAATACCCTAACAGACACATCCAGTGGTATGCTTTACTATTGTTCACTAGCTGATTCTCATTCCAATCAAGTTGTTACAGGATTAACCATCACACATAGTACAACCTAACAAGTGTAAGGATGGTTGATTTGTCTCTCCTAATTTAGGGGTAGGCTAGTCAGGTGATTACCCCTTCAAGAACTTTACAAATATGCATTCATTATTCTTATTGCCCCTAAATTCTACTGGTCTTTCAAACTAAATAGTTACTATAAAATTTATGCTTTTAAAAGCACTTTGTGTTGTCTTAATGAGTAGTTAAGGAAATACAGATGTTGTAATTGTATGTGTGATGTCCCAGGGTTTAAAAAAGGGTGCTTGTGCTTTAAAACTTGAGGTTTACATGGAGAGAGAATTGGATTGGTAATAGATGAGTCAGAAAATGTTAAGGGCCAAGTAAATGTAATGCCTTAGCTAGTCAATATTAAAGAATCTACCTTATTCAGAGATGATGGTGGATTCAGGAATATTTAAAGAGTAGGATGAGTATTTGTCTTTAGAATGGTTAGTATTTGAAAATAGATGAGAAAGTGATAAAAGCCTAGATAGTCATAATTCTTAGCAGATTGTTAGAAGGATAGCTTGAGATAATGGCACTGTGAATGAGACAATGGTGAATACAAATAGAAGAGATGGATGCTAGAGTTATTTAATGTTTTGTAGTAGGAAGAAGAGAGGCACACGAGTTTCTTAGGTCTTTTTTGCTTTGGACAAATGAAGAGAGTTGGTCCTAATATTATAGAATGCATGAGTTAGAAACTAAGTAATTTATTAGTTCCATTTTTTATGTGTTGTCTTTGAGGAGCCCATGGAACATGCAAGAAGTGTATTGTCTTGCTTGTATATAAGAAGTTGGAATTTTGAAGATAGCTGGGTATTATGTGACAGATGCAATGCACACATCTGTTCACCCAAATAGGTGTCCCACGATAGACCAAAGTACGGATACCATCAAAGTCCAACTTGGCAAAATACTGAGTTTTGCTGGGGTTACTTATAGGAGCAAAAGTGATTCATCTGCATCACCAAAGCCCACCCTAGAGTTGGTGACAGCTCACAAAGCTGTAGCACACTATATACTCTGCAGGTTGGAGAATGTTTTTCCCAGGTGCCTTACTTGTTCTAACCCTCTAACAGCTCAGCTTTTTTCTGCTTCTTCCAGGCAGCTGGTTTGGTATCAGAGTTTCTGTTGGTGGCTTGTCTAAAAGTCTTTTCAGCTTTTACTGCTTACTCTGGCAGGGAGGGGTTTAGTGATTCTGGTCACTTTCAGTGATTTCCTGAATGTATTTTGAGTTGTTTGCCTTCTGTTTAAGGAGCTTCCTTTTAGGATGGAAAGTTTCAATCTAGGAGAAAAATAACACTGGGCCAGCTCATAAATGAAAAATATAGTTGCATAGTTGGACAAAATTGCCTAGGGAACAGAGAGTGACAATATGCCATAGAAAAAGTCTCAAGAGAGAAATTGTTTAAGGGATAGGCAAAAGATATTCTTACTAATGCTGGATATTTTGTCCCTTGTTTTAGAATGATGCCGAAACATTACAGAAGTGTCTTATTATGTGCTATGAACTATTGAAGCAGATGTCCATTTCAGCTGGAATTGGTGCAACCATGAATGGAATCGTTGAATCTTTGGTATACTGCTGGCCTCTGAGGCCTTATACTCTTATACCTTATTATACAATATGTTCATTAGTACTTGAAATAAGGCTATCATTTAAAACATCTGATAAATACAAATAGTGAACTATGTATATCCACAGTGACTACTTCATATGTGTTTTAAATAAAATATAATCAGTTCTCTCAGTATTATATGTTCATTGAATGCATGGTATCTAAGAAATGCTTAACATACAGTTTGCATAAAATATAAAACATGCAGATTGCCATCCTGGATCTTCTGCTCAAGTGAGGGCGACGTTAAAAATAGATACTATATATATTTATGTACTTATGTGTGCGATAATAACAAAAAAGAGGCTATCCATTTAAAAGAAGATATGGGGAGAATGCAGTGGGTGGGAGGCTACATGGAAGGGGTTGAAGGGAACAAAGGGAAGGGGGAAAGTAATATAATTAAAATATAAAGAATAGTTACTTAGGCTATTGACACTGCTTGTGAATATTTATATGGTTATAAGTTAACTTAATTGCAGGGTTTGACTTATTCAAGGAGAACGATCCTGCTATAATATTTAAAAGATACATGAAAAAGAGATATGAAGAACATTTAAAACCAGAGTCATGTATAACTATTAAAAACTAGTTTAGATTGATGCATAGTAAAACAGTTTTAAAGATGGAAGAATATAAATTTGTCTCACTAAAAAATTTTGTAATTTATATTCTATAGCAATATTTTGAGTATATAAGGTAAACTATAATATAAAAATAGTACTTTTACTGATTTCCTTTTGCTTTAATATGGATTTTAAAATAACCAAAATGACATGTGATTTCTATTTGTGGACTCTATTTCTGTTGGGTGATTGTGAATAAGAGTCATCGAAATCAGACTGTTAAGCATGCTAAAAACGCAGTAAAACGTGTCTGAAATGAGGATGCAGGAAGTACTACACATTATATTAAGGAGGTTTGTCTCATTCTTAGCATTGGGAGTCCTTGAATCAGTTTTAGCAGATGTGGGAGTGTTACATATTGAAACAGGAGCATTGTTCTTGCTGTGTTCTGTTTATTCTGCTTTGTAACTACCCCTTTTCATTTTTAACTGATAAAACTTTCTTCTTTAATATTAGTATGAGAATGAAATAGCCTTACAAAATTATATGGAAGTCATCATTTTGATGGTGATTTTAATATGGCATTGTAAATGTCTTGCCTTGGTCAAAATTATTTTAATTTTTACTTTGTTGTAGATTCTTCCTGGAATAATAAGTGTTCATCCTATAGTAAGAAATTTGGCTGTTTTGTGCTTGGGATGCTGTGGACTACAGAATCAGGATTTTGCAAGTAAACACTTTATGTTATTTTTACAGGTATGATTTATTTTATGATTTTTATGACAAAAATCATGTGTCTATTTCCTGAAATGCGCTGTATCTTTGATGATATGTTAATATTTGAATGTATTCATATGCTTATTGATGATTGTGGATAATCTGTAGGGATTCAATTTTTATCTTGATATCTTACAAGATGTCCTTATAGAAAAAAAATGAAGTAACAATTTGAGTATGTAGCTTATATGAATGCATACTTTGTGCTAACAGTGTTCTCAGCTTAAGATAAGCACATTAGTTAAGCGGTAAATAGAACCAACTTAAGTTTGTGTTATTGGAGCTTGTTTTCCTGAAAGGGAAACAAACAATGAAAAACAAATATGTGTTATGCCAGCTGAGCAAAGATAGAGTTTTGCAGCAGCAGTAATAGGAATAAGAAGAGGGAGAGGGACTATTTCATTGATGGTAGACTTAGTCATATTTTGACAATCAGGATCATAGAGAAAAGTTAAAAGTTAAAGAGCAGAGCAGGCTTTATATATATATACTTGGGTTATTTTTTTAATTTTTATTTTTCTGTGTATATCTGTGTGTGTATATTATGGTGATATTTTGTTTATGCTATAGCAAATAAAGCTTGCCTGAGGATCAGAGTGCAGAGCTAGCCACATTAGTTAGCAATAGAGGCCAGTCAGTGGTGGCACATACCTTTCATCCCAGAAGTCATGAGATAGTGCAGGCAGATCTCTTAATAGTTCAAGGCCACCTTGGGCTACATGAAATTGATTCGGTCTAAAAGAGAAAGTTGATCCCAGCACTTGGGATCCCACCCATGCCTTTAATCTCAGCACCAGGGAGGTGGAGACAGGAGTGATATGGCCGGGCAGAGAGAAAATATAAGGTGGGAGGAGACAAGAGCTCAGTGCAGTCTGAGCAACAGTTGTTCTGAAGTATCTGAGGAGCAGTCAGTCTGAGGAGGCAGTTTGAGGACACAGTCTGAGGACAGGATTGTCCCTTTGGTCTGAGTATTGGTAGAGGTAAGAACTCTAGTGGTTGGCTGCTCTATTTCTCTAATCCTTCAACTTTCCCCCCCTGATAGCTGACTCTAAGTTTTTATTTTTAAGACCAAAAAGAATTTGTGCTATAGTATTTATATGCTATGTTTGTTTGGGTGTCCATGGAGGCAGACAAGGGCATTGAATCCCCAAGGGCTGGTGTTACAGCTGGTAGTGAGCTGCCTGGCATGGGTGCTGGGAACTGAACTTGTGTCCTTTGCAAGAGCAATAACTGCTCTTAACTGCTGAGCAACCTCTGCATCTCAGACATCTCAGTGTCTTAGGAAACAGAATAGAGGAGAGGGTTCTTGGGTGTAATACTTCTTAAGTGTAGTACTTTGCTTTGCCTGTTAGAGTAACAGGAGGACATATGGCTGGGAAAGTCTAAGCAAAGTGAAGTTTAACAGGAGAAAGAGTTTGCAGGATGTTCATGTCTTCCAAGAACTTACACTGAAAAAATACAGATTTCCACTATGAACAATTCAGGGAAGAAAATTTGTTTGTTTTGATTCTTTTGATCTCAAACCTCATGTAATACAATTGTTGCATCTGGTGTGTCTTAAAAGTTAAGAGCATTTGAGAATGATAGCAGATTGAAGGGCAGAAAACTTTGAAGTTTGCCTATATTTTGTATACTATTCTGAGTTATGATTTTTAATTTATTTTTACTTTTTATTTATAGTTTATTCTTAGTTTATACAACAGAGTCCATGATCAAAAGAAGATAACTACTGAGTAGATTCAACCTTGTATCTTTTTAAAAGTTGGGTGTAACGTGTAGCCTTCCCGCCAGCTGCTTGGGTCCTGCTGCTGTCTCAGCCTCCAAATAACACATGAGACACTGTATTAATTATGAAGCTGTTGGCTTGGTTTCTTATCGGCTAGCTCTGACTTAATTATTAACCCATAACTGCTAATATTGAGTATTTCCATGTGGTGTTCTCTTACCAGAGAAAGGGTCCGGACCTCTTACTCCTCCGATGCCCTACATTGTGACTGACTGTGCCTCTGTTTCCTAGAATCCTCCTGGACTCCTAGTCCCACCTGTCTTGCTTCCCTATTGGCCAACAGTGCTTTATTTACATATTCACAGAAGGACTTCCCCCATCAGTTGGGCTTTTGTTTTTGTTTGTTTCTTATTACCTTATTTACTTAATTTTGGTATTTTGAGACAGGGTTTCTCTGTGTAGCCCTGGCTGTTCTGCACCTCGTTTTATAGACTAAATTTGCCTTAAGCTCAGAGACATGCTGCCTCTGTCCCCAGAGTGCTGAGATTAAAGGTATGCACTACCATGCCTAGCTCTATAAAAGTTTTTTAAAAATAAGTATTCTCAGGGCTTTCATTGGACAATTTTTAGATAAATGAAATGTCTGTATCAGAATAAGAAAACTTGTTAAGTGCTAATAATAAAAGTTGAAACGCATTTCTTTTAATTAAAATTTTAGCTAGGTGGTTGGCACATGCCTTAATGGGAAACAGAGGCAGGTGGATCTCAGTGAGTTCAAGGTCTTCAGAGTGAGTTCTAGGATAGCCAGGATTGTTACACAGAGAAACTCTGTCTTCAAAAAACAAAATAATTAAAATTAAACAAAATTGAAATTTTAATTCTGCAAAGAGTTATTTTGTTTACACTTAGCACTGTCATTGAAATTTAACTAAGAAAACATAATTTTATTTAGGATATACAATTAAGTTGAATTTTTTGGGGTTCATGTTTAATTGTAGGTTTTGCAAATTGATGATGTCACAATAAAAATCAGTGCCTTAAAGGCTGTCTTTGACCAACTGATGACATTTGGGATTGAACCATTTAAAACGAAGAAAGTTAAGGCCATTCAGTGTGAAGATGAAGAAATAAAGAGTGACAATGAACAAGACACAAAGGATGTTGAAGAGACTGCCACAGCTAAGAATGTTCTGAAATTCCTTTCTGATTTCTTAGATAGTGAGGTAAGAAATCATTTAGCACTAATGTTATGAAATATTTGTAGCATGTGTTTATGTTCTTAGCTCTACTTTTTGTACCAAAGTTTGCCTTTGACAAATCTTAAATGTATTATGATTAGCTTTCATTATAAAATTGGTATGCAAACAATTGCAGGATTTTTATCACAGTATTCTTTTCCTTTTTTTAATTTAAATTAGAAACATTCATGCTTCAAATGTCAATCCCAGCTCCCCCCATTGTCCGTCCCCCAGCCCCCTCCCCCAGCCTAATCCTCACATCATTCCCCAAAGAGGGTGAGGCCCACCTTGGAGGGATCTCCAGAGTCTGTCATTTCATCCAGGTCACGACCTAGGCCTTTCCCCTTGGGTCCAGGCTGAGAGATCATCTCTCCATGTGGAATGGGCTCCCAAAGTTCATTTGTGTGCCATGGTGAATACTAATGTACTACCCAAGGCCCCAGAGATTTCTGAGGCCTCCTCACTGACACTTCATTCATGGAGTCTGGATCAGTCCCCTGTTGGCCTTGTAGCCATCAGTCTGGGATTCAAGAGCTCCTCCTTGTCCAGTCAGCTGTCTTTGAGGGTTTCACCAGCACGGTCTTGACCCCTTTGCTCATCACTCCTCCATCTCTGTCACTGGGTTCCAGAATTTTAGTTCAGTGTTTAGCTGTGGGTATCTGTCTCTGCTTCCATCAGTCAGTGGATGAAGGTTCTAGGATGCCATATAAGGTAGTCATCAACCTTAACAGGTAGGGGCTATTAATGTAGTCTCTCTGCTATTACTTAGTTTTCCATTCTGACAGGAGTAAGATGATATCTCAGGGTTGTTTTGATTTGCATTTCCCTAATGGCTAAGGATGTTGAGCACTTTCTTAAGTGTCTCTCAGCCATTTTAGACTCCTCTATTGAGAATTCTCTATTTAGTTCAGTCCCCCACTTTTTAATTGGGTCCTTTGGTGTTTTGGAGAGTAGCTTCTTGAGTTCTTTGTAAATTTTGGAGATCAGCCCTCTGTCAGATGAGGGGTTAGTGAATTTCTTTTCCCAATCTGTGGGTTGCCTTTGTGTCTTGTTGACTGTGTCCTTTGCCTTACAGAAGCTACTCAGTTTCAGGAGGTCCCATTTATTAATTGTCGATCTCAGTGTTTATGCTACTGGTGTTATGTTCAGGAAGCGGTCTCCCGTACCAATTGGTTCAAGGGTACTTCCCACTTTCTCTTCTAACACGTTCAGTATGGTTGGATTTATGTTGAGGTCTTTGATCCATTTGGACCTAAGTTTTGTGCATGGTGATAGACATGAATCTATCTGCAGTCTTCTACATGCCAATATCTAGTTATGCCAGCACCATTTGTTGAAGATGCTTTCTTTTTTCCATTATATATTTTTAGCTTCTTTGTCTAAAATCAGCTGTTCATAGGTTTGTGGATTAATCTCAGAGTATTCAATTCGATTCCATTGGTCTATGTTAAGAGAAGCTTTTTCTTTGCTAGCCGCTTTGGTTTATCCCCTGCCAGCCGCCTGGGCTCTGCCGCATTGCAGTCCCCAAATAAACACACAAGACGCTCTATTAATTATGAAGCTGTTGGCCTTTGCTTGTTTCTTACTGGCTAGCTCTGACTTAAGTAATTACCCCATAATTGTTAATCTAAGTATGTCTCTTACCGGAGAGGTTTCCGGGCTTCCTACCCCAATGGCGTTACATCTCGACTCTCCTGTGTTTCTCCTTCCCAGAATCCTCCTGGACTCCTAGCCCCACCTATCTAGATTCCTATTGGCCAGCAGTAATTTATTGACATATACACAGGACTTCCCCAACATCTCCTCTTTTCTGTTTAAACAAAAAGAAAGGTCTTAACTTTTACATAGTCAAATTGTATATGACAGAATAGTTATCAAGTAAGAACACAGCTACAATATTTTGTCAACATTTAGCAAGATTTAAAGAAAATATCATCCATCCCATCCTTGTGAGTCCAAAGTCCTATATGTAGCTTATCTTTTATCATCACTAAGGAAAACTATAATTATAACTATCTGTCTTCAACTCCATCAAAGACCACAGAAGGATAACATATAAACACTAGGATTGACAGAGACATCTTACTGCCTGGAGAGTCACCCAAAGTTCCTCTGTAACGTTGGGGCATCCATCTTCAACCCATAGGCCACAATGTGTCTGGAACACTTCTCAGCAAAGCAGGAAATTTCAAACTGTCCATCTGCATTGGCAGTCTGTCAGTCATTTTTCTTTGTCCTGTAGAAAGTCTCTTAGACTCTTTCATGAAGCAGGAACCCTGTAAGACTGAGTTCAGCAGTCACTTTCCTGTGGGTCCTGCATGTCCAGTTTATACAGCAACAGTCAAACAGTCTAGGCAAGAGCAGTTTCTTGACCAAATGGCTAATCTTGCCATGTTGAAAGCAAACTCCATAACAAGTTTCTTCGATGCCCATCTTCCTCTCAGACATAATTGGTGCTGCCAGGAGCAGACATTTTTCATTGTCAAGAAAAACCCTAAACCATTTTAAATGCCATTTTCTGAAGGTCTTTGAGAGGTTTGAAGACTGTTTATCTATCTCAAATATATTTCTGTATATCTAGAAAATCTAACTTACCTAACTATAAATTCTAACTATTATAAGCAACTATCTATAATCTGTATTCAATTATGCATTACATTTTAAAAGATCAGTATAAGCACAATACTTAATCAAGAGGAGAAATATACATATCACAAAATTGACCTTGAATTTGTATCAATAAATGAAAAACAATACACATGCCATAATTCCCTTTTTTACCATTAAAAAAGGGGTTGGTTGTGATCATTAACCAATTATAAAGAACCCCATTTAAATGAAAACAAAGATTTATAAACAAGATGGGAATTGGGACGTCGCTCATTCCAAACTGCTTCGTGCTGGAAGGGGGTGCTGTTTATACCATGGGGATCATGACAAAACTCAGAAACCTGTATAAGTCCATATTTTCGGGGTCTGTAAGACTGCATCATCTTAGCTGTTTCAATTGTTGGAACATCTAATCCACTGCTTCCGGGGGTCTTGGTTCGTCAAACCACAGAAGCCTGGAAGGAATCCTCAGCTTTTCATTTTCTGTGGAAACATAAGTAAAATCTCCTTTTCCAAGTAACATATCCTTATACTTAAATTTTAAAGTCAAGGCATTTTCAAAAGATAGAAGTTGGATTAATTCAGCAGCATTTATAATCAAGTGTACTTTAGTAGCAGTTCCTTCCTGAGCAATTATAAAACTGAAAAACACAATAACGTACAGTATCCAGACTCTCTGTGTATTTTCCATCTTTACGTGGCTTATTTATTTCTATTATTACTTTATTTCTTTTACTTTTATTTCTTTTTCTCTGAGACAGGGTTTCTCTTTGGAAATCTGCCTGCCTCTGCCTCTGGAGGAAATCCTACCGTGCGCCACTACAACGCCGGCTTTTGTATTTATATACCACTTTGTTGTTTTATTTTCTCTCTCAATCTCACGTATAGTTTTAAACACACTGTAAACCTTTAGAGGTTTGTTCATCCAAGTCTGACTTTACTGTAAATCTTTGTTTTTCTGGCCACGTGTCTTATCTGTAAAGCCGCGGCTGTTTTAAACTGTCGGTTTTTCGTCAAGATGGCGGGCATAAGCGCGACTCCAGCTTACCGCCTCAGTCCATGCTGACATCCAGCAAAAGCTGCCACTTCCAGCTGTACGTACAACTTTTCAATTGTTAGCAGAGTCTCTTAAAACAACCTTACTGTTTTTTTTTTTTTCTTTTTATGCCGAGTCAGGAAGACTGGTAAGCGAGCCACGTGAATCTCGTCTTGTCGATAGCAAAACAGAGCACACCTGAGAAAAATGCTGCTACCAAAATCTGTGCTTCTCTCTGTTCTTCTGTTTCTAAAATTCCTTTAAAGCTTTTGTTGTTTTGCGTGGAAATTCAATCACACTCCTGACAACCATTCTGTTAAGAGAAGCTTTTTCTTTGCTAGCCGCTTTGGTTTCTCCCCTGCCAGCCGCCTGGGCTCTATTAATTATGAAGCTGTTGGCCTTTGCTTGTTTCTTACTGGCTAGCTCTGACTTAAGTAATTACCCCATAATTGTTAATCTAAGTATGTCTCTTACCGGAGAGGTTTCCGGGCTTCCTACCCCAATGGCGTTACATCTCGACTCTCCTGTGTTTCTCCTTCCCAGAATCTTCCTGGACTCCTAGCCCCATCTATCTAGATTCCTATTGGCCAGTAGTAATTTATTGACATATACACAGAACTTCCCCAACAGGTCTACCTGTCTATTTTTGTGCCAATACCAAGCTGTTTTCAGGACTATAGCTCTATCATAGAGCTTGAAGTCAGGAATGGTTATGCCTTCAAGATGTTGCTTTGTTGAGTAGGGTTGTCTTGGCTATCGTGTGTTTTTTCTTTTTCCATATAAAGTTGAGAATTGTTCTTTCAAGGTCTGTGAAGAATTGTGCTGGAATTTTGATGGGTTTACATTGAGTCTGTAGATTGTTTTTGGCAGGATTGCCATTTTTACTATATTGATTCTACCTATCCAAGAGCATGGGAGACCTTTCCATTTTCTAGTGTCTTCTTTAATTTCTTTCTTTAAAGACTCAAAGTTCTTGCGATACGGGTCTTTCACTTGTTTGGTTATCGTTATCCCAAGGTATTTTGTGTTTTGTGTGCCAATTGTAAAGGGTGATGTTTCTCTGATTTCTTTCTCAGCCCTCTTATTGTCTGTATATAGTAGGGCTACTGTATTCTTAAATTGTTCCTGTATTCTGCCACTTTGCTGAAGGTGTTAATCAGCTGTAAGAGTTCCCTCATAGAGTTCTTTGGGTCACTTAACGTAAACTATCATATCATCTGCAAATAGTGAAAGTTTTACCTCTTCCTTTACAATTTGTATCCCCTTGATCTCCTTTTGTTGTCTTATTGCTCTAGCTAGAACTTCCAGTACAATATTGAAGAGGTATGGGGATAGGGGGCAGCCTTGTCTTATTCCTGATTTTAGAGGAATTGCGTTGAGTTTCTGTCCATTTAGTTTGATGTTGGCTGTTGGTTTGCTGTATATAGCTTTTATTATGTTTAGGTATGTTCCTGTTATCCCAGATCTCTCCAACACCCTTATCATGAATGGGTATTAGATTTTGTCAAAGGCTTTTTCAGCATCTAGTGAGATGATCATGTGATTTTTCTTTCGCAGTTTGTTAATATGGTGGATTACATTGATAGATTTTCTAATGTTGAACCATCCCTGCATTCCTGGGATGAAGCCTACTTGATCATGGTGGAAGATTTTTCTGATGTGTTCTTGGATTCATTTGCCAGTATTTTATTGAGTATTTTTGCATTAATGTTCATCAGGGAAATTGGTATGAAGTTATCTTTCTTAGTTTTGTCTTTGTGTGGCTTGGGTATCAATGTTGAAGCCTTGTAAAAAGTTTGGCAAAGACCCTTCTCATTCTATTGCATGGGATACTTTGAGGAGAATTGGTATAAACTGTTCTTTGAATTTCTGGTAAAATTGTGCACTAAAGCCATCTGGCCCTGGGCCTTTTCTGTTGGGAGACTTTTGATGACTGCTTCTATTTCCTTAGGTTTTATGGGGCTATTTAAATTGCTTATCTGTTTTTGATTTAATTTTGGCAGGTGATATCTATCCAGGAAGTTGTCCATATCCTTTAAATTTTCGAATTTTGTGGAGTACAGGTTTTCAAAGTATGACCTGATGATTCTCTGAATTTCCTCAGTGTCCGTTGTTATGTCCCCCTTTTCATTTCTGATTTTGTCAATTTGCATGCTCACATTCTGCCGTTTGGTGAGTTTGGATAAAGGTTTGTCTATGCTGATGATTTTCTCAAAGAACCAACCCTTTGTTATACTGATTCTTTGTATTGTTTTCCTAGTTTCTGCTTTATTGATTTAAGCCTTCAGTTTGATTATTTCCTGGCGTCTGCTCCTCCTGGGTGAGTTTGCGTCTTTGTGTTCTAGAGCTTTCATCTGTGCTGTTAATTCTCTAGTGTGACTATTCTCCAGTTTCTTCATGTGAACACTTTTTTCTCTCAGCACTGCTTTCAAAGTGTCCCATAAGTTTGGGTATGTTGTGTCTTCATTCTCATTGAATTCCAGGAAGTCTTTGATTTCTTTTTTTATTTCTTCTTTTACCCAGGAGTCGTGCAATAGTGTATTATTCAATTTCCTTGAGTTTGTAGAGTTTCTGCAGTTTTTGTTGTTGTTGAACTCTAAAGCATGGTGTTCTGATAAGATACATGGAGGTATTTCAATTTTTTTTGTACCTGTTGAGGTTTGCTATGTTGCCAGGTATGTGGTCAGTTTTTGAGAAGGTTCCATGTGGCACTGAGAAGAAGGTATATTCTTTTGTGTTTGGATGGAATGTTCTATAGATGTCTGTCAAACCCAATTGGGTCATAATTTCTATTAGTTCTCTTGTTTCTTTGTTAAATTTCTGTCTGGTATTCCTTTCTAGTGGTGAGAGTGGGATGTTAAAGTCTCCCACTATAAGTATATGAAGTTTTATGTGTGTTTTGAGTTTTAGTATTGTTTCTTTTATGAATGTGGATGCCTTTATATTTGGGGCATAGATGGTCAGAATCGAGACTTCATCTTGGTGGATATTTTCCTTTGATGAATATGAAATGATCTCCCTCTCTTTTGATTAATTTCAGTTTGAAGTCTAGTTTGTTAGATATTAGGATTGTTACCCCTGCTTCTTTCTTGGGACCATTTGATTGGAAAATCTTTTCCCAACCCTTAACTCTGAGGTAATGTCTGTATTTGAGGCTGATGTGTGTTTTTTGTATGCAGGAGAAGGATGGGCTCTGTCTTCCAATCCATTCTGTTAGCCTGTGTCTCTTTATGGGCGAGTTAAGACCATTCATATTGAGGTATATTAATGACCTTTGATTGCTCGTTCTCGTTTGTTTTGGAGTGGTTGTTCTTGGTGGAATAGTATGTGGATTTCCTTCCCTTTTCTCCTTTGGGTGTTGGTAAAGTGGGATTATCCATTGCCTATGTTTTTCTGGTTGTAGTTAACTTCCTTGTACTGGAGTTTTCCTTCCAGAAGTTTCTGTAGGGCTGGGTTAGTGGATATGTATTTTTTTAAATCTGATTTTGTCATGGAATATCTTGTTTTCTCCATCTATATTGATTGAAACTTTGCTGGGTATAGTAGTCTGGGCTGGCATCCTTGGTCTCTTAGGGCTGATAGAATATCTATCCAGGACCTTCTGGCTTTCAGAGTTTTCATGGAGAAGTCAGGAGTAATTCTTATTTTGCCTTTATATGTTATTTGACCTTTTTCCTTAGCTGCTCTAAGTATTTTTTATTTATTCTGTATGCTTGGGGTCTTGATTATTATTTGGGGAGGGAACTTTTTTTGTGGTCTACTCTATTTGGTGTTCTGTAAGCTTCTTGTACTTTCATTGGCATGTCTTTCTTTAGGCTGGTAAAGTTTGCTTCTGTGATTTTTTTTGAATATGCTTTCTGTCCCTTTGAGTTGGGTTTTTCACTTTCTATACTTATTATTCTTAGGTTTGGTCTTTTCACGGTATCCCATATTTCCTGGATATTTTGTGTTAGGGATTTGTTGGATGGATTTAAGATTTTCTTTGGTCGATGAATCTATTTCTCCTAGTGTGTCTTCAACACCTGAGATTCTCTCTTCCATCTCTTGTATTCTGTTGGTTATACTTGCATCTGTAGTACCTGACTGTTTCCCCAGTTTTCTATATCCAGCATTCCTCAGACTGTGGTTTTTTTTATTGTCTCCATGTCAGCTTTCAACCCTTGCACTGTTTGAATTGTTTCTTGTAATTTTTGCTTCGTGTTTTCCTCCCTTTCTTGCATTTGTTGGATTTTTTGTTTTGTTTTTTCTTTTATTTCTTGCATTTTTTTGGTTTGTTTTTTCTTCCATTTCTTTAAGTGATTTTCTTACATCCTCTTTGAGGGCCTCTATCATTTTCATGAAAGTGTTTTTAATGTTCGGGTCTTACTGGCATAGAATCTGTAGCTTCTGGTGGTGTCATATTTGTTTTTCTGTTGTTGAGTGCGTTCTTATATTGCCATTCCCCATCACTTCTTCCAGTGGGTGTAGGAGGAGTCTTTTCCTCTCCTGGTGGGTAGGCGACCAAGGTTCCCTTTCTGTGGATGCAAGCAAATCCAATACTCTCTGGCCTCTGCTCTCTGATACTGCCCTGAGTGTGGGCAGAAGAGGACCAACTTCTCTCTCAGGCTCTTGGTTACTTGGTCGTCTGTCGGGGGTGAGTGGACCTGGATGCAGTCCTGAAGCCAGGGGATCTGAGAGAGGGCAAGCGGGTCTAAGATGGGGACCCGGTGCTCACCTCTGTCCTCTGCGCTGGGTGTAGGCGGAAGTGGACCAGCTCTCTGCAGGCTCCTGGTCGCTTGGTTGTCCAGGGCAGGTGGGGGTAGCGGGAGTCGACCTGGCTGCAGTCCCCAAGTCAAGGGATCTGAAAGTGGAAGGAATTCCAGTCTAAACTTATCACAGTAACAGAAATGAAGAACAGTTACTATTGCAAATGAACATTCTTTCCCTTTAAAAAACGTATTAAATATTTTTTTGTTTTCTTAATTTTCTGTTCTGTTCTAGAACAGAACTTCAGCTGAAGGCTGTGTGCGTGGGTATGGTACACACACGCATGCGTCCGTGTAAAAGGCTGTGTGCGTGGGTATGGGTACACACGCGCATGCGTGCGTGTAAAAGGCTGTGTGCGCTGGTATGGGTACACACACGCATACGTGCGTGTAAAAGGCTGTGTGCGTGGGTATGGGTACACACATGCATGCATGTGTGCGTGTGCATATGTTTTAACTTTACAGCTTTGCTGAATTGAATTGACTCACTACTAGGTAACTTTGGAAGGGAATTCTTGGGATTTTTCTTTGTGTAGAACCATGTTATTTCTAAATAGGTACAATATTAATGCCTTTTGTTTTTTGTTCAATTGCTGTGCTTCTTCTTGTGGTGCAGTATTAAGTAGCTGAAGCAGATATCCTTTGTCTTTTCCTGGTTTTAAGGGGAACGTTATGAATCTTGTTAATAAATGGGTTGGTTATAAGGTTTTAATGACTGTCCTTCACCATTTTGAGAGGATTACTTTCTATTCTTATATCCCTGGCTATTTTGTGTTTGTATTTTAATAAAAAGATGTTTAATTTTGTCAAGTGTTCTTTTTGCTTCAGTCAATATGATCATGAGGGATTTTCTTCTCTATGACATGTTGATAATGGTATGTAGTCACTTGATTCTTATATGTACCACCTGTGCATTTCTGTGATAAATTCTGCTTGCTCATGATGTATGGCCCTTTCACTGTGTTAATGAATTTGGTTTGCTACTATTTTGATGGAAAAATTTTCATCTAATTTTATAAGTGATAGCCATGCATAGTTTCCTTGTTATGTCTGATTTTCTTTCTCCATATTTTTTTATTGTTTGCCTAATTTTAAATTGTGTTTACACTCAGATTATTTGCTCTTTTCTTGTTCAATAAGGTGTAATTTAGGTTATTGACTTGAGATTTTTTTTAAGTATAGAAATTGATTTCTACAAAACTTTGCTCTGAGCACTATTCATTGTAATCTTGTATTTTATTTTAGTTCTGATTTTTGAGACAGCTGTGTTCTGTAGCCCTAGTTAGTTTAGTTAGTTTATAACTTTATAGCCAAGGCTAGCTTCAAACCTGCAGTGATATTTCTTTTTTTATAAAATTCATAATAAGATTAATGATTTTTGGATAGTTAAGCTGTTACACATAATCTTATAAAGAAACTAGAGATAAAACTTTCTGATTGAGTGTCATTTTTACTAGGTATCTGAACTCAGGACAGGAGCCGCAGAAGGACTAGCCAAGCTGATGTTCTCTGGGCGTTTGGTCAGCAGCAGGATTCTTTCTCGACTTATTTTGTTATGGTATAATCCTGTGACTGAAGAGGATGTTCGACTTCGACATTGTCTAGGCGTGTTTTTCCCCATGTTTGCTTATGCAAGCAGGTATTGAGTCATTGATAAAGTCTTATTTGAAGTCAGATTCAGTCCCCCATGCACACCTGAATTATATCCAAGTCATTTGCAATTAATACACCTTCTTTCAGTTGATGAAGGTAACAATATTATAACATAATTATTATATTACCAGATTTTTAAATATGGAATATGCCTTATCTTCAATAGATCTATTTTATGCATATTTTAGAATTAAACTTTTTTCTCAAATAATGTTTTGCCAACATACTTGTAAATTGAGTTTCTGGTCAAATCACTTGATTCAGAAGCTTGATGTTAGGGAGAGCCAAAAAGGTTAATGGGATCTGAAGTCTTTCATCAGGGCAAATGTTCTTGTCCTTGTACTGAAAGTTTGAATTGCTTTTCAATAGGACTAATCAGGAATGCTTTGAAGAAGCCTTTATTCCAACTGTGCAAACACTGGCCAGTGCCCCGGCGTCATCTCCTTTAGCTGAAGTCGATGTCACAAATGTTGCTGAGTTGCTTGTTGAACTCACAAGACCAAGTAGATTAAATCCTCAGGGAAAAAATTCCCAAGATTATGAGGTGTGTATGTTAGCCTGTGGGTGGCAAATACAGTTGCATGAAGATCACTATTGGTTGGTTAAAGAATTCCCTCTGCTGGGTTCTTTGAAACTGTGATGAATTACATTTATATTTTGAAGTTTTTGTTTTTCTGATTTATAAAGCAGTTCCAAGAGGGGAAAAGGTCTTTTGGGAAATGTGGAGAAATCATGAAAATAGAAATAATTAGTGCAAATGTTTTACAACCTAGACGTTACTAAAACTTCATTATTTCCATAACCTCCTTCCTCACCTGCATGGTAATCACTGAAGTAGTGACCTCTGCTATCTGAGACTCATTACATCTGCAAATGTAATGAGAACAATTTAAAGGCAATAGTATCTCAAGTTAATTTTGGCTCTTAAGTGGAGCATGTAAGCCAATTGCAAGCTCACCTATAATTTAATTATAATTAAACTGTTTCAAAATCCTTTAATGACATTTGCTTGAACACTTAGAAATTTGATGTGTTAATGATTTCAGATGCCAATTGGAAGTTGACAGTTTAGTGTTGTTCATTTATTTATTTATTTTTGTTATTTAGTGACTACTCTGTCACATCATTATATATTATTGAGAAGTTTGTATTACAAAGTATATTCAGCAAAATATGCCTTGTACTATAAGGAATAGTTTTATCCATCATGTGCTTTTGGACTTCAGAAAAGTATAAGATTTGTTATAGGAATGATGAATGTGTCATTGTTTTTATGGCGATATATTATGATTTTAATGCTTGGTTGAGGGTTCAGAAAGAAAAACTAGCCACAAGCCATAAGAGGTCAGGCAATAGTGATACACGCCTTTAATCCCAGCAGCCATACTAGCTAGCCGTAGAGTCAGGCAGTGGTGGCACACACCAATAATCCAAGGACTCAAGAGACAAGCAGATGGATCTCTGTCAGTTCAAGGCCACATTGAGCTACATGAAATTGATCCATTCCTCAAGAGAAACCGCTCACACAAAGGTGATCTCAGAACTTGGGATAACAAATCTTTAATCCCAGCACTATATATATATATATATCTGTACTATGAAGAGAGCATTTTCATTTTACAGAGCCTTTTCTTTTTATTTTTTTTAGGCCTTAACAGTACATGACAACTTGGCTATAAAAATTTGTAATGAGATTTTAACAAGTCCATGCACACCAGAAAATAGGGTTTATACAAAAGCTTTGAGTTCTGTAGAACTCAGCAGTGGGGCTACAAAAGATCTCCTGCTTCTATTGGATGAGATTCTGGAGGTAAAGCAACTTTTAATACTCTTGAGTAGTTCATGTTTATGTTTATGTTTATGTTTATCAGAATGTAATTTAGATAGATATATTAAGTAATACCTGTTATATATAGTCTGCCTGTTCATTTGAAATAATTGTTTCCTTCATGAATATCATAATTTAAGAAATGTTTTCAGACAACTTGGTATCGGCATATAACTTTTAAAAGATTAATTTATATTTCCCTCCTCCCCCCAGCAAGTAACAGATAGGACATGTCTGAGAGCTTTGGAGAAACTCAAGATTCAGCTAGGAAAAGGAAGTAAAGAATTTGAACAAGCTGTAGTAGCACAGGATGTCGACACGACTACAAATGTTCTTCAGAATGAAGATGGTAATTGCATACTGACCTGAATATCTATAAAATTTACATTTTCATCTTTACTGAGATTTTTATTGTTTTGATTGAATTTCAGAAATGAAAAAATCTTTTTCTTCTTAATCTCTTAGAAAAACTATTATACATCTGTTTATTCTACCTTTCAATTTATTTGAGCACATTTTTTACCTACCATCTGGCCAAGAGCTTCATTTTGTAGTATTCACATTTTTGAAATGGTGATGTTTTGTAACCTTCAGTAGCAGCTAATAGGACTATTTTCTGTTTGTTTTATGTGAGAGAAAAAGATCACTTTAAAACACAAGACTGTCTTTTGTTTGTATTTTTGTATGATTCCGTGTGTAGAAGGATATATGACTCCTCCGAGGAATGTAAAAGGAGCTCAAGCATCAAAATCCATACAAGGAAAGACTAACAGAGGTAATGTGTGGATTGACGGCATCTTCTATTACAACTGTTTTCAAATTAAAATACTAACTTTGCAAGCTTTACTTTCTTAGATTTCTTTTTGGTTTTTTTTTTTGTTTTGTTTTTTTGTTTTTTTTGTTTTTTTACGAGACAGGGTTTCTCTGTATTGTTTTGGAGGCTATCGGTCCAGCCCGGCCTCGAACTCACAGAGATCCGCCTGCCTCTGCCTCCCGAGTGCTGGGATTAAAGGCATGCGCCACCACCGCCCGGCCCAGAAATAAAAATTTTTGAATGTCTTAGGTATGCTTAACTTTCTTTTACTTCCTTTAGTTGATGGAAATTCTTGATTTTTCTGAAGACTATAAGATTATTGCTCAAATGCTTTTGAATGATACATAAACAAACGATTGTACAATTAAGGGCTCTTTGTAGGTAAATTAAGAATAGGTTAAATTGCCAGGATTGGTGGCACAAGCATTTAATCCCAGTACTTTGGAGGTAGAGGTATGTGGATCTGAGTTCTAAGACAGACCGGTCTACATAGTGAGTGCTAGGACAGCCAGGGCTATGTAGATACCCCCCGATCAAAAAACAAAAACTACCCAAACATAAAAAGGTTAAATAATAATTTTATATTATTAGTAGTATTAGTATTTTTTTTCATGAATGAGCATTTTTTCCTCCTTGAAGTTTTTGCTTGTCTTTTTACTTCCTTTTCCCCATCTAATTTCATTTCTTTTTTCCAACTCAATATCCCAAGGGGTATCCAACAGTAGAGTATTTGTTGAGTAAGTACATGTTTATTAGTAGGGGACCACGTGGAAAAACATCTGAAATTCAAGGTCTTTTTAATTGTTTTATTAATTCCTTATTACAAAAGCAATGCATGCTTATTACAGAAGAATAATAAAGTACATCCAAGCAGACCTACCGTCAAGAACACTAATAGTTCCACCCATGAGCCAAACATTTTAATTATTGTAAATAGTTTATGATTCTGTTCTAAGTATATTTAATCTTTTCTGGAATAGAATCTGGCCATAATATTGTTTCATAACAAACCAATTATTTAAACACCAATTACTGGATATTGTTCCAAATTACTTCCATATTCTTGGATGTGTTCCTGGGGATAAATACACTAGTGAAAGCAAATAAATAAAATATGATGGGAAAATATCTAACAATGAATAGGCTATATACAATTTTCAAATAAATTATCAAATGAAAAATTGATTTCAATCAGATTACTTTTAATTACAAGAGAATTACACCCCCCCTTTTTTAATATTCCAAACTTAATGTATACATGCTATATCTTACTTCTTAGAAATGAATATTGCAGGCCAGATTTAGTACATCTCTCTCTCTCTCTCTCTCTCTCTCTCTCTCTCTCTCTCTCTCTCTCTCTCTCTCTCTCTCCCTCTCCTCCCCCCCCCTATTCACTATTGAACTTCTGATTACAGGTTGGAAATATAGGTGTTGTATTATCATTGCTCCATTTTACATGGTCACTCAGGCCAGTCTAGCTAGGCAACATAGTGCTTCAAAGATAAATACATATAATAAAAATAATGTCCCATTTTGGAGCTGTTCATCTTACAGCACTGCACCCCCCGCAGTAAGAGAAAACTATTATTATATGTGTGTGGGTGTGTGGGTGAGATCATTCGAGTGTGCATTTGAATGCATGTGGAGGCTAGAGGACAACTTTGGGTGTTGCTCCTTAGTCACAGTCTACTTGTTTTTAAGACAAGAGTCTATCACTTGTCTGGAGCTCTCCCAAGTACTGAGCCCTAGGGATCTGTTCATCTGCCTTCTTGAAGCTGGGATTATAAGCTTGTGCCACCACACCTAACTGTTAGTGGCTTCTGGCATTTAAACTCCAGTCCTCATCTTTAACAGAGCTAGCACTTTACCAACTGAACTATCACACCCAGCCTGAATGTTTTTATTACCACATTTGGTGAGCTAAAGTTTGCCTCTTTGTCATGTATTAGTAGTGCTCATCCAAAAAAAATTAGGTAAATTTTAGTTGTCTTCCCACCCTTACCCCACACTGTGGAATATTGAGAACATCAAGGTGGCTAGGAACAAGGAAATGTGTTGAATGAAGATTGTTTTGCCAAAAGTAAAGCTTTAGATAGCCTGGAAACTAGATTTAGAAACATGAAACCATTGAAAATTTGCTAATAAATTATACTGTCTTTTAAGGACGGAGAAAAGCACCAGCTTCATCTAGGACCAGCAGAAGACGGCAGGCTTCTAAAACTGACTCTGAAAGGTATGTCATATGTTTCTACAAGACTCAGAAGATGTCAGTCATTTTCATTTTGTTCAGAAATAGAAAATTATAATTTTCTTGTGAGAGAAACTTGGTATATTATAAGATAGTAAAAGCAATAAATATCTGTGACTTTTTGGCAAATAGCCTAAAGTTATCCATCAAGGACATTATGAAGAGGTGTTAGTTGGTATTGCCTTCGTAGTAGTTTTATGTGTTCTCAATTTCTATGTATTCTCATTACATGACCTTGTGTATATGACTCTATCTTGATTTAGATAACATTTGTATTCCTTCAGTTACAATTCATCTTATAACTTTATAGTGTATTAGTGGTTTGTGTTAATACTGTTATTCTCAGTTAATGTCAAGCCATAGTTGAACCTGAAAAGTTTGTAGTTGTCTTGCATTCATTTATTCATTGGTATTGGACTGTGCATATTTTCTTAGATTAGGTCTTAGGTTAAAGTGCTTTTGGGAGGACTTAACAATGTTTTGGTAATTTACTAACTATATTAAGCGAGCATAGTACTATTTTTTCACTTGAATTCCAAAACCATCTTTAGTATGGATTGTTGTGATCTCTATGTATTTACAAGCTTCATTATAAAACCTTGCTTTACCAGTATATTAAAAATTACTAGATTAGTGTTTTCTTTGATTTACATTGCAGGACAGCCATCTAGCCAGTGGTTTTTGGTTATTTCTTGGAATTTAGTTTTAGGTTTAGTTAATAGACTCAGGCTATCAATTACATACTGTTAGAATGTCAGAAACTAAAAGTTTTATTTATAAATATTCTGGTGTTTAAAGATTATATCTGAATGAATGTATTTTCAATATCTCTTTAGTGATCATGATGTTCCAGAACCACCAACAGAAATGAAGATGAGATTACCGAGACGAGCCAAAACAGCAGCACTAGAGAAAAGTAAACTTGATCTTGCACAGTTTCTTAATTGAGGATATACGTCAAGAGAGCTGATACGGATGGAGTCCTTTGAAGTTGTGCTTATTTCTTTGCTTTAATAGGTACTGTGGTAAAATAGGAAATACCTGCTGTGTTTCCAGAAACATGGAGAAATGCCACATGACTTTGGCATCTGTCATTGTGATCCATCTGCATGTTTTCCAGACTTATTTTTATTAGAATGTTAAATGGACCTAGGACTCTGCTTTTATAGGTTCTTCGGGTGAACCCTATGAAATTATGACATTTGGAAAAATTTATAATAAGCCCAGTAGCTTACATTTGAGAAGCTTAGATAGAGTAGATCTAACATAGGTGACAGCGTCAGACCCCAAACAGATGGCATTTTAATGGTGATGTATGTATAGCTACATATAAAGCTGCTTATTACCATTGAGGACTAGTATAATGAACCAAAGCATTCCTTATTTACATTAAACAATGGCTTTGAAAATTTTATGATGCCTATACTAAGTATTTATTTGATAATCTTACCTCAATGGGCAATTTTCTCTTCCTAAATCTTTCCATATAGGAGTACTTGTTTATGAATGTTTCTGAATTAGGGAGATGTCCACACACATTAATCATAAAGATACATTGATTTTTGGCACATCAAAATATAATCTACCTAAAATAATAAACAATATTAGTGGGAAGTGGAATTTCAAGAAGTATCTTTAATGACTGATTTATGAGCAGTTTCTTTGCTATCAATTTCAATTATCTTTTGAAGTTATCATTTATGAAACATAAATATTTGTTTTGAAACTTGCATTGTAAAAATAGTTCTTTTTATTTCTGCCATATCCAGTTTAACACCTTTGATTATTCCTGATACTGACCTTTTCTCTTTTATTTCAGATAGAAGTATCCTAACATGAATTTTTTATTGATTGTGCTTTAAATTTTTTTTGCCAGAGGCCATTTATTTCAACTGAGTTCTAAGATGGAGTGAAGGTAATATTGCTGGTTTTTAGAACCAAAAGGCTATTCTATGTACATAATATGTGCTTTATAGAACTCAGAGAAGGAGTCAAAGTTACAAAGCAAGAGTGCCTATTAAGCAAAAGGCAGAAATGGTAATAGTATAAACCAATGAAAAACACTGTTGTTCTTCATCTTTTGACTCTGTGTCTTTTCCTGTGCTTCATATTCCTTATTGTTATAGTTCTTGTTAAATTCCTGTCTTAAAGCAAATTCATGGAGAATAGGAAGTCAGAAAGCAAAACAGTATATAACATGATGTAAGGGAAGCCAGTAAGAATGAACTACGATTCCATTTATGTATGTGCAGAGTATCCAAAAAGAAAGATACTGTGATCATGTAGACACTATACTAAAGCTTGCTTTTTTGACATAGGAAAACCAGCTTTTAATCACTAAACCATTAGTAGTCTTAACTATTCAGATTTTAGACAATAGCCATGGCTACAGGTATACATTGCATCATTAGCATTAGTAAGGAATATCATCCGGCTTCTACAGGATATCCCTGTAAGCTTTGGAGTAAACTGCTAAAATACAATAAAACCAACAGGTATAAAAACGGTTATCTTTTTTTTTTTTCATTCAAAATTGTTAACTTAAACCAGTGTTCTTGTTTACCATGAGGTACAAATTTGCTGAGAAGTAAACATGCAATTGTGCCATTGCTCTTATGGCCCACAGAAAGAGAACTGATAACTTAAATTCTTTTTATGAGTGAAAACATGCTATTTGATAAGCTAATCAACATTTTTCTATACATATATAACTTTAGAAGAGATAGACTTCCAAGTGATACCTTTGCCTTTCCCAGTTTGCTTCGAGGTAGTTAGTATCCACCTGTTACACAACTGTTCATGGGTTAGGTCATTATCACACACTTTTACAATACTAGCGTTCTAAATTACAGGATATGTATATGTCAAAACTGCACAGAAATAGAGCTGGGCAATTACATGTTTAAACTGAGGGCATTAAAAAATTCACCAATAAAAAGAGAACATCAAAATCTGCTTTTGTTGCAAAACTCCACAATGGTTTTGTGTAATGTTTGTAAAAACCGGAATTATAATAAGAATGATTAGTGCTAATGATTTAATATAAAGACAGATCACAGGACTAGAAATATTTTAGGATTAGTTTGTTTTCATGAGAAAGAATATTGACATACAAAAAAAAGGTAGTGCAAGGACTGCAGACTATTTTTCTTCATTTTTGAGATTTTGGTTATGAACTGTACAGCTTGCTAGAGATGCTGCTGTTAGATTCCATTCAATAGGATGATTAAGGCACATCTTAATAGGACTCAATGGGCAGCTTGCTGTGTTCCCATCAGACACATCCACTTTCTCATCAGTTTTCATTTGTAGTACTCTGTAAAAAAAAAAGTGTAAGGCATTTTAAGTTTAAATTTCCATTTGTCAACCTTGTAGAAGTAAAGTTTGGAATATTGTGTGCACCCTAAAGCAAGTAAGCAAAGTACTCATCGTCTAACAATTCTTGTTCTATATGCTGCCTTAATGAACTGTGATGAACGATGCCACGCATAAGTATGCCTCAAGGTGTTCACTCAGATAGCCCAGTACAAAAGAGGTCAATCACTGCATTACATTAGTTTATATAAGAAAGGCATTTAACTTACTGGAAGGTCAACCCTTTAGCATCAAGACTACTTTTAAGAGAATGAACATTTGTTAATGCCTGATGTGTTCTAGGCTCATTCACATGAAATTATCTCATTTTAATTTCATAGCTAAACAAGGTTGTATATTTAAAGTATAAATATGATGTCATACTGTAACTGGTGTAGAACTGGAAACATAACCTTTCCTCTTCTTGATCTGTTAGCATTCTAGTGGACTGATTAATCATTAGCAGTAGAAAAAAAAAAAAGCAACGTTTGGTAGAAGAGAGTCAGGTTGTCCAGCCTGTCTTATCTGGTGGCCAGCTTAGCTTAGGAACAGAGGCAGCATCTATAGGATACTGTTTGCCTATTACATGGAAATCGTTTCTTCTTTCTTTTTTATATTTATGGAGTTGATGGCTTATTTGGATTTAGGTTGGGTTGGACAGTTGTCTTCCATGTGGTTACTCTCTAATGTATGTCCTCTTGGAAGACTGGTTCTTGGAAGACTGTAGTCTTATTTAACACACTAATGGACACAGTCCCATTTGTTCTTTAAAGTCATCACTTAGGTAATCACCCTCCACTTTGCTTAATCACACCTTTCCATGGTTCGGTGCCTGACCCAAATCTGATATCTTAGGATGTACTTTAGTACTTGAAAAACAGTAGCAGAATTTTTCTTGTTTCTTCTGTTGTTTCATGTCTGAAATCTTCTAGATCTTAAAGAAAGGAGATTGGCACACTGAACTCTGAAGATAAAGCAATGTTGACTATGTGGCAGTTGCTCAACAAAAATAAAAATAATGAAATGCCTAGAAAAATCCAGCTCCTTAAATGTATGTAAGCTTGAGTCCAGAAGAAAAGTAACTCCACTTTATGTATGGGTAATGCCTACTTTTAGGCTCATATTCTGTTTAGCAGCTTGATAAACACTAGCTCATTTGACTTGAACTGTTAGTTTATATAGACTACAACTCTCCTAGGCCTTTTCCAGCTGTGTACCTATGAATCTTCCTATTGAGGTATCTTCACGTAAGAGACTTGATGTAGTTGTACAGCGGCATATTCAGACTCCTATAACCTGTTTCTGATTTCTTCTGTACAATTTACAGCTATTTAGTAAACCAAATCTGCATAACATGTTTTAACACCATTGGCAGTCTCTGTTTTTTTCTCCAGACACATATCTATTCTACTTTAGGATGGTTTCAATTTATATAGTTAGATAGTAGGCAAAACAACAAATTTTTTTTTTGGTTTTACAAGACAGGGTTTCTCTGTTTTGGAGGCTGTCAGTCCAGCCTGGCCTCGAACTCACAGAGATCCGCCTGCCTCTGCCTCCCGAGTGCTGGGATTAAAGGCGTGTGCCACCAATGCCCGGCCAAAACAAATTAAGTTAGCCTGTTAGTCATAAAAATACATTAAGTGAAAGCAAAACCAGTTATAATTTGTACATATTAATATACTTAAAATAATTTTTTGATTGGTAAATGACAAAGATCTAAGTGGCTATTATCAGAAATGTTGAATTTGGAAAATATATTTGGTTTATTGTTACACTGAGGTACTTGGGTATCATATTTTTTTTCAAGTTAGCAATACTGTTTTTTGTAAGGATTGCTACTAGTTGTAAGAAAAATAAAAGATGGTATTTTAATTACCTGTAATTTTATCTTTGTTTAAATCATGTATGTTTGTGTGTGTGTGTGTGTGCGCGTGCATATGAGTTCAGTGCATATGTGACTATATTTCAGAAGAGATTATCAGATCCTATGGAACTAGAGTTACAGGTCTTTGTGAACTGCTTGGTTTGAGTGGAACTCAACTTTGGGTCCTCTGTGAGAGTATTATGTCCTTAACTGCTGAACCATCTCTCTAGCTAAAGAACCACTTTTTTTCTTATTCTTTTTCTCTCTCTCTCTCTCTCTCTCTCTCTCTCTCTCTCTCTCTCTCTCTCTCTCTCTCTCTCTCTCTCTCTCTCTCTCTCTCTCTCTCTCTCTCTCTCTCTCTCTCCCTCTCCCTCTCCCTCTCCCTCTCCCTCTCCCTCTCCCTCTCCCTCTCCCTCTCCCTCTCCCTCTCCTCTCCCTCTCCCTCTCCCTCTCCCTCTCCCTCTCTCCCCTCCCTCTCCCTCTCCCTCTCTCTCTCTCTCTCTCTCTCTGGATTAAAGGCATGCGCCACCACTGCCCGACAAGAACCTTTTTTTTTTTTTTTTTTTTTTTGGTGTGTGTTTGTTGGGGGGCTGGGTGAGGATTGAACCTAAGACATCTCATGTTTGGTAGCTGATCTAAGGGTTGTACCACTGACTGAAATGATTGTAATTTTACAGCAACTACTTCATAAACACCTTTCTGAGAACTTAAGGTTAAGATATAAAAATAGGTCAATGAAATGGGTCGGTAGCTAAACATAGCAAGTATAAAGCTAAAAAAAATAAATTTTGTTTCACTTGAGGTTGTTTGACAACGATGCTTTTAAAGTTAATTTTCTAGAATGTTATTACTACATAAATGACGGGTACATAAAACTATGTATGCACAGAAAATAGAAGAAATAAACATTTTATTGTTATTACTATTAATCTATATACTAATACGTTTAATCTACATATAATACTATAAAATTCTGAAGATGTTAATTGTCGATCTTTGACCTTATAAAGGGAAAATTATCCTTCAGTCTATTTTTATTTGTATGAAAAAGTTGATACATTGCCAATTTATGGGAGCCATTTAAAATGCTTTAAATGCTTTAAAAAATGTGTAGCACCTCAAGTTCATTATCAGGAATGGGCATTCGAGGTGGTCTCTGCACTATTGCTTGATGTCCATAACCATCCTGGAGCCTTCATCCAGTGACTGATGGAAGCAGAGGCAAATACCCACAGTTAAACACTGAACTGAACTGAACTGAACCCATGGAACCCAGTGACACAGAGAGAGGAGCAATGAGCAAATTGGCAAAGAATGGGCTGGCAAAACAGCAGAGACAGCTGATGTGAACAGGGGAGAGCTCTTGGACCCCAGACTGACAGCTGGGAGGCCAGCATGGGACTGATCTGGACCCCCTGAGTGTGAGTGTCAATGAGGAGGCCTGGGCAACCTATGGGGCCCTGAGCAGTGGATCAGTGTTTATCCCTGGCATACAAACAGACATCGTGTGTCCATAACACAAAGAGGGATGCTCTCTCAGCCTGGACTCTTAGGGGAGTGCCTGGACCCTGCCTGAGTGAAATGACAGACTCTAGATATCCCCTATGTGGAAGGAAATGGCGATAGGGTGGGAGGCTGGGGTGTGTGGGAGGAGGGGGAGGGAGAGGGAACTGGGATTGACATCTAAAACAAGCTATTTAAAATTAAAATAAAAGATTATTTTTAAAAAATGTGTAGCACCTAAAATTCTGGTCAAAGGAAGAAGTTGGAGGAGTTGCTTATCCTAAGTCAGGTTTCTTCTGTCAAAGCAGGCATCTAAATGGTTGGAAGCAGGGATTGATGAGACAAAGGGAGGGACTCTCCGGGGTTACCTAGACATCTCTGATTATTTCAATATTAGTGATCTCATGAATCCTAAGGCAGTTTAAAGAGTATGTGTGTGTATTTATACTGTATGTTTTAAGGGTCATGGAACCTCAGTTGTTTGTAATTGTGTTTCTTTAAATTAATTTAGGCTTACTCATTACTAGAGCTATGGTGTCATATAGTCAGCTGCATTGTTAGTTATGTGACATAGGCTTACAATACACTTTATCATTAGCTAGTCACCATACACAGAAACAGTAAATTTTGGTGTGATCTGCATTGTCTGAAAATACCATTTATAGAACATGTTGACTAGGTTCTCTATGAAGTCTTTTCTGTAGTTACCATCTACTAAATCTTAGAAAAGTTACTTGTCCATTATACAACCAATAAATGGAAATATCATATATTATCTGTTACGAACCATCTGCTACTTTAGTTATAATTCTGCCATGACTGTCTCCTGTTAATAGCCACTACTTAGTTTATTTGCATTAGGCAGCAATAGCCCCATATGAGAACCATGTTGAATACATGAAGCTTCCTTATAGCAGCAGCTAAATAAAGAGCTTGATTCACACTCTTCACTTCTACAAAGTGGGAAAAATGTTAGGGATCCATGTCTATTCAAAGGGAGTGAGAAGTCACTGTATGCACAGATAAACTGGAGTTTTGTATAGGCTTTGGATTGTATGACTGTAATGTGCCTGACATCAGATTTATACTAGACAATTGAATTCTACATTCTGGATGGCTTGTTTATGTTCTTAAAAATATTAGAAATACATTAAATACTTACTTATTCCAAATGTCAAGTTTAGCACAAAGCCAGTTAGAGAACCTTCACTAAGCAGTTATTCAAGTGAAGGACTTTTTGTGTACTAGAGTATGATTTTGGTAGTTAGTACAAAACAAAGCTCAGTTTTATGAGGAGCCCACACATGTTCACCAGCAGGTCTGTGTGGTGACTGCAAAACCTTAATTAAGATCTGTCTGGTATATTAGGAATGTCAAATGTGGTGTATGCCTTCAGAGCTTCGTAAGGACACAGGGAGAGAATGTATTCATGAATTGTTAACAGAAAAACCAAATAAAACTATAATAAGTTAGTAATGACTAAAGAGAAAAGTTAACACCAGCAGAGTGGGAAACTAGAGTAAGAAACATTCAAAATGTGTCTTGGAGGATGAAGATCTTAATTCAGGGCAGAGGGTGTTACAGCCCCAGTTCTGATCCTACATTTTTATTTATATCAACTATAGAATATATGTAACATTTTGGGGCCACTTCGTTTATACAATACAGTTCCTCAAGAAATATGAGCTAATGTTATTCCTGTAAAAGGATGCATGTGTTTTCACTGATGGCAAGCATACAGATTTATGTGTGATTTTCTGTAGTATCTTTAAGTAAGAAGAGTTAACTTGTGTGGATAGGGAATACAATTAGGACTAAGGAGAATCAAATGTAAGAGATCTAAGCTAGCTTCTCAGAACTAGATTGGCATATTGCAGAAGATTATCATTTTTTGTTTGCTTGGTTTTGTGTCTTAAAAGTGCAAATTTCCAATGATATGGCACTGAGCAATTATAAAGTATGGGTAGTTAAGGCAGAAAATTTACATTCACTTTTGACTTGTTTATAATCTGATGTGATTATTTGGAAGAGTTGGAAAATATGTTAAGAGCAAAGACTTTGAGGTTTAATAATTGTGGAATTTGATTTTTGATAGGAGTTGTTTATGGTTCACCTCACAGAAGATTGTGCGCTTGGTCCCCAGTCAGCCTACAGTTTTTAAAAGATGTCAGAACTTTTAGGAGGTAGGGACAGTGGGAGGTGACTGAGTCATGACTGCTTTCTTGAAGAGATTAATGCTTTGTTCTTGTGGCTTTACAGGAGGCAAGATTAGCTATTTTAAAAGAACAAGCCTGGTTCCTTCATGGTTTCAGTGTCTTCCCCTTTGATGAAGGCCATGTTAATGTGCTCTTAAGTCTTCAGAACCATGAGCTAAGTAGACCCCATTGCTTTACAAAATACCCATTTGAAGTATTGTGCTACAGAAACAAAATAACCAAGAATCTTAGATATATGATTTATTCCAACAAGTTTTAGAAAGATGACATAATTTTCATATATAAAGGTGGCACAAAGCCTGTCATTAGAATACAAGTGTGTTCTTAATAACTGGTTTATAATGTCCAAGTGTGTTAGTGTAAACTATGGTATAGAAATCCACAAGGAATGTAGAATAAAGTTTTAGATTTCTATTCTGGTAAGCAACAGACCCCAAAAGACAAAATACTCATGTGAATCTTATTGTCAGATATTTGGATTTGTATATTTAATTTGTAGTACCTGTAGGATTGAAGAAAATAGAAAGAGACCAGTGTTTGGAAAAAAAGGGTTTTAAAGGGGTTGTGTGTCTATTAGAACACAGCTGTTATCAAGAGAAAGATGGGGAAAGGAATGGAAAGGTAGGTTTGGGGTGAATACTAAGGATCTTTCAAGAAAGACTTACGGAAACATTATTTTATAAGCATGCGCACATACACATGTTCATATAAGTTTAGTTGGAGTTACCCTACATAGGGGATATGCTCTTCTTAGAAGCCATGGTCTGCCAAATAGAAAGCCTAGTACTAGTTGTAGGATGCCCCCTCTCAAGCTTTTGCTGAGAGGTGTCTTGGAGGACCCCTTCCTCTTCCCATGAAACAATATATAAGCTATTGTTATTGCTCTTGGTTGCCCACCAGTACTTGATGGTAAGACCACATTATTGAAAGCACTACACACTGGCTATAAGATGATATGAAGAAATCGACTTGGTACTGACCAAGAAGCTTCTTTGCTGGGTCACTCTTAGTGGAATGTATTATGTAAGGCACTGGGGGTGGAGTAGTTATCAGTAATTTTAGTCAACTGTTGAACCCTGCAACATATAATGACTGGTGTGGCAGGATAAGCATAGGAGCAACAATGGCATATATGTTATGAATATGCTTTCTGATTGGATTTAAGGCTTGATCCACCAGAGGAAATATGCCTGGTACTATAAACTGTGTCAAGAACCCTTAGGTGGCTCACAGGATCTATGGTAAACCTACTACTTTTGTTCTGGTAAATGGACATAGTATCAAACTAC